AGGTAATATTTTATTTCTCTTGAGTATCAAATGGAGTTCTGTTCTTTTTTTACAGAGAGGAAGGGAGAGGGATAGAGAGTTAGAAACATCAATGAGAGAGAAACATTGATTAGCTGCCTCCTGCACACTCCCTACTGGGGATGTGCCCGCAACCAAGGTACATGCCCTTGACCGGAATTAAACCTGGGACCCTTCAGTCCGCAGGCTGACGCCCTATCCACTGAGCCAAACCGGTTAGGGCTGGAGTTCTGTTCTTTAAATCCAAGGTATACATCATGTACTTTTGTTGTTCATTTGCTTAGAGGCATTGCATGTCTCAGAGAGTAATGAGTCTTCACATAGAATACAAAAAAGTGATGGGTTGGTTCATGGCCAAACCATAGAAGTTAGTTGAGTGGAAAGCTTTTTTTTTAGTATAAATATCATGAGATCTGAACTTGAGTTCTGCAGTTTTGCATCTAGTAATTCATTTGTTATTTTTTGCTCTTTTCATCTGAAAATGGGATGGATGTTATGCTGACTCTGATTTTATTCCAGTTTTGTTCATAGATCAAAGGTGCACTGGTTTCAACTAATACTCTTTTGTGTGAGATTTGATGGCTTGGGAAATTAAAAAGAAGTCAGTAAACTCTTGACTCCTGTTCTCAAGATGCATCTAGGCCTATGGAAAGAAGATCAGTATACAGATAACCATAACTTCTAAGTGGCATAATGAGATTATTTTCCAAGGAAAAAGTGCAGTGGGAAGTGGAAGGCCAACTCAGCAGACATTTGTTGACCTCCACCATGTGCTAGCTTTCTGGTCAGTTGAGAGAACAGACATAAAAACAGTAGTTCCTGTTTTAGAGAGCTGGGAATAGAAATTATATATGGATTGTGGTGATACTTTAAAAGTACTCTAGGTCTGTTCTTAAACTTTGTCTAAAACCAGACAGTTGTGTCAGAGCATTCACATATAGGAGTTATTTTTTTTTTTACAATGTTTTCAGACTGTGCAACTTGGATGCTTTCTTGATATTTAAAATTTGGTCATTAACCATGTGTCATATATAAGATGAAGAGAAATGATTTGAAAGAGAAAAGATTTAGCATTTGCATCTTAAGTAAGAATAAATGTAATTAAGGTTCAGTATAGTACTTTCAAGTGTATTCATTCCTGGTGAGTAACAGTCTCCACATTAAACATGAAAAGTTCTTTAAAACTCACTCATTATTTTAATTGGTATGAAGCATTCAGAAGGTAATTAGCTTGAGAAGAATGGTTAAAAATGCATAATTTATAAGCAAACCTTTTATATGAAGAAGTGACTGAAATATATTTTTTATGTGCTTAATTATGTTTTGACAGGATAATTAAAAGTTGGGTGTTAGTAGATTTATGAGCAGAATTTAATTATGATGAAATCTTAAGTTACTGGAGACTTTTTCTCAATTTTTAAAACTCACAGCAATTTATTATCACCCATCTAGATGAAGTAAGGGATTTCTTTTAGTTTTATTTGAAATTAAAGAACTTCTTGTTTTCTGAACCATTTGGAAATAAGTTTGCTGATGTCCCATCACTGCTAAACACTTTGTGTTTTTTCTAGAAATAACAATATTTTCCTGGTTAATCACAAAATAGCCAACAAGCATAGGAAGTAATACTGATATATTTTTACTATTAAATCCTCATATCCCTGTTCGAGTTTTACTAACTTTCCTAATGTACTTTATTAAAGAATCCAGTTCAGAAATACGTTGTATTTAGTTGTTATGACTCTTGGTCTCCTCCAGTCTGGAATAGTTCCTTATTTCCTCATTTTTCTTTGGTTTTCATGATCGTAACACTTTTAAGGATTACAGGCAGTATTTTTTTTTAATAGTATCCTTAAATGTTTGATGTTTTTGCATGACTAGATTCAAGTTAATGTATTTTTGGCAGTAATATCAGAAATGATGCTGTGTTATTTTTCTTCTTCCTATCAAGTTCTGATTTCAATTTGTTCCATTACTGATGAGTCAGTTTGCCCCGTTACTGATGATACTCATTTTGTTCACTTGATTACAATTGTGTCTGACAAGTTTTTTCACTGGTGAAGTTATTCTTGAAATATTCCTTGTTGTAATTAATAAGTACCTGTTGGGAAGGTACTGATACTATGCATATATCCTATTCCTTATTAAACTTGTCGCCCATTTTATTCATTGGGTTATAATCCATTTTATCAGTGTGATATGAGGAGTGCCAGGTGGTAGCTGCACATGCATTGGCTTATATTATTGAGAAGCAGCCTGAATTTAGGAATCTGAATCTTTTGTTTTGATAAGCATGCCTGCCCTTTGTTCCAGAGGGAGATGCTCTTCCCGGCTTCTAAGACTAGTTTCTGTACAGACATCCTGGACAGTCTGGAACAAGCAGCCAGTGCCTCTGTTTACACAATGTCAAGAAGTGCAACACACCCATGGAGAATTGTCTCTCAGTATCAGTTTCATTTCTTCCTACAGGAGACGGATATCTTCCATGTTGCCATCTTCTCCAATCTGGATTGTCTGCATTATTGACATTGTAGTCTACAGCACAGCTGTCATCTCAGAAATTTCCTTTGCAGTCAGTCTTGGACTTCCCTTTGATGGGCCTGCCTCTTTCATGTAGATCCTGTTTTCTGTTTCCCATGCTTCCTTCTTCCTTAGCTTTTTGTTTTGATGATGCACATCCTCTGGTGCTTCCTGAAGAAAAATAACTTGGAAAGTTTTAAAAAATTGACATTTTATGTGCTGAAAATCTTATTCAACTTTCACCAGATTAATAGTTTGACTAGATAGATATAGAATTATAGGTTGGAAATAATTTTCTCTCATATTGTGAAAGTATTCTTTAGATTTCTTCATCTTCTACTAGCCTTCCGTATTGCTTTTAAGAGGTCAAGTGCCATTTTGCTTCCTGATTCTTTGTATAGGATACCCGCGCCCCCCCCCCCCCCCCTTCCTGTCTGGAAGCTTGTTGAAGCTTTTATTCCTCCTGATGTTCCTTGCTATGGGTCTTCTGTCAGTGACTGTACTGATCATTTAATGAGCACACTTAGTGGATATTTATATTCGTTAGCTCTGCAAAAGTAACTTGTTTCTGCTGTTTTCTCTTTCTTGTATTTTATTAGTCAGATTTGGACCTTTTATTTTATTTTTATTTTTATTTTTTTAAATATATTTTATTGATATTTTACAGAGAGGAATGGAGAGGGATAGAGAGTTAGAAACATCGATGAGAGAGAAACATCGATCAGCTGCCTCCTGCACATCTCCTACTGGGGATGTGCCCGCAACCCAGGTACATGCCCTTGACCGGAATCGAACCTGGTACCCTTCAGTCCGCAGGCCGATGCTCTATCCACTGAGCCAAACCGGTTTCGGCCAGATTTGGACCTTTTAGATTGCACCTCTATTTGTGTGGTTTTGTTTCCATTTAAAATGTCTCTTTATTGTTATTTTAATGGGGCGTGTATGTGTGTGTGTGTGTGTGTGATTAACCTAAGCATAAATGTGATTAATTTGCTATGTTTTAGAACATATTTTAAAATGCAGTTATTTAAAAATTTTTTAATCTTATTTGTCAGGTAGTAGGACAGCACTAGAAAGATTGCAAGAGTTTTTAAAAATACATATATATATATATGTTTTTTAAAAATAAATTTTTATTGATTTTAGAGAGGAATTGAGAGGGAGAGAGCAACATCAATAATGACAGTCATTGATTAGTTCCTGCACGCCCCACACTGGGGATAGAGGTCGCAATTCTGGCTCCTGGTTCATAGGTCAACGCTCAACCACTGAGCCAGATTGCAAGAGTTTTTGTGCTTACATTCTGCCTGTTTTTTGCAGGGATGGGGAGGCATCTGGAATACTTTTTAAAATTCTCGCCCAAGGATATGTTTTTATTGATTTGAGAGAGAGAGAAGGAGAAACCTCAATGTGAGTGATAAATATTAATTGCACCCTGACCAGGGAACGAACCTGTAACCTTTTCATATACAGGATGATGCTCCAACCAATTGAACCACCTGGCCAGGGTCATCTGGAATGTTGTTAAGAGGTGAATGAGGCCCTAGCCAGTTTGGTCAGTGGTTAGAGCAGCAGCCTGCCTGACTGAAGGGCAGGTTCTATTACCTGTCAAGGGCAGGTACCAAAGTTGATCCACTCTCTAAAAATCAGTGGAAAAGATATCCTCGGGTGAGGAGTTAAAAAAAGGCAATGAGTAAAGGTGAGCTTGTCTGCCTTTAAAAATCAAGTTTCATGTCAGATTTACCAAATGGACTCACTCATTTTTTCCTAATCTAAAGTAGGTACTATTATAAAACTTACGATTTGTCACAGTTCAGTCTAAAATGGCCTACTTTCAAATTATGTTCCAAAAAAGAATCATGGTATTTTATAGCTGAAACTGACATCTAATCTGGTATTTTCATTGTAATGTGTAGTAGCTGAGTCCTTTAGATTGTAATTGACTTACTGACAGCCAGATAAGATAGCAGAGTTAGAATAAGAACCCAGATGCGCTATCTTTTCTATTCTCATTATTTTCTAGAAACTCCACTTTGGCTTTAGCAATATAGGTTTTCGCAAAATAGTCAGCCATAGTCTCAGCAAATAACTCTTTCCTGAATCTCAAACAGATTCGTCTATGATCACTTGTCTTATTTCTAAAGTAACCTTTCCCCTCTGATACTTTAGATGTGGAGGTGAATATCAAGTTTATTGCCTCCCTTGTTTCCAGTTAGCCCATAGGTAGCTTGTCTAGGTAGATGACATAGCAGCGTGACTATCTTAAAGGTGCCATGTTATTGAGAACTGAAGCCAGTATACATTAAACTACTAAAAAGATTTACATCAGATGATAACTAGTTTTCAGAACATTATTAGCTAGTATGTGTAGGTTCAGCAACAGAATTGTTTTGATGTGTGTCATTGCTGATTAGATTGATAGACTAGGTTATCTTTGATTAATGATTGTTTCTCTTTCCTAGTCAGCAGATAAGCAGCGAGCCCTAGAGGAAACCAAAGCCTACACCACCCAGTCCTTAGCAAGTGTTGCCTACCTGATAAACACCTTGGCCAACAATGTCCTGCAGATGCTGGACATCCAGGCATCCCAGCTGCGAAGGATGGAGTCGTCAATCAATCATATTTCACAAGTGAGACCATACTGTTTTTCTGTATTGTTATGAGGAACACTTAATAAACACAGGTGATCTGTGATGTTGGCAGTGTTTATTATGTGAGTTAACTCATGTATGATTTGGAAAATACAAACTCAGTATTCAAAATAAGTATTTTTTATTCTTTTTTTTTTTTTTTTAAATCTTCACCTGAGGACATGCTTTTATTGATTTTAGAGAGAGAGAAAGGGAGAGGGAGAGAGAAAGAGAAACATGGTTGTGAGAGTGAAATGTTGATGGGTTGCCTCCCATACAAGGTTCCCCTACTGTGGATCGAACCTGCAATTTGGGTATGTACCCTGACTGGGAATCGAACCCACAACCTTTCAGTGTAAGGGACAATTTTCCAACCAACTGAGCCACACTGTATCTTTTTGTGGAGTGATTTTCTACTCTGATTTTGTTAGGGAAGTAAATTTTAATGGTTCATTAAAACTCAGTTGTCATGTTAAAATTATCAGCCTTCAAGTGAAATTTGTCTGTTTCTTCCATCTTTTACCAGATCACACATTTTATCTTTTGAAAAATATAAATGTGATAGCTGCTTGTAGGATTTTTGTTTACCAGGATGGTACCATACCTTAACAGAAGGAGTAATCTAAGTGACCTTATAAAATTATCTTTATATAGAACTTGAAAAAAAATTAGAGGAATATCTTATTTAATATTATTTAACCTTAAATCTGAATTTTCCACTATAAGTGTTTCTTCCCATCCTATATGAACTTCTGTAGACATTAAATGATTTATTGTATGTTGTACTTTTGTGTCTCTTAAACTAAAAACAAACTAAAAAATCCAGCAACAACAAGAATTTTAATGAATGAGAGAGAACATTTATTCTGAAAAGACCTAGTGGAAATAGTCAATGGCATTTAAAAAAATTTTTTTATTGATTTTAGAGAGAGAGGAAGGGAGAAGGATAGAGAGATAGAAACATTGATGAGAGCGAAACATCGATTGGTTTCCTCTAGCACACACTCACTGGGGATCGAGCCTGCAATCCGGGCATGTGCCCTGACTGCGAATCAAACTGGTGACCCCTTGGTTCATGGGTCAATGATCAACCACTGAGCCACACCGGCTGGGCAGTCAGTGGCATTTTAAATTATTAAGTATATGATTAAATGATTTTCTATAGAAGGAGGGATGTTGATTAATAATCTGATATAGAATTTGTAAGTTATACTTGAGAGACTTAAAGTTTTGGCAAGTTTGCAGTCTTAACAAAGGATCTAAAAAGAAAGTAAGAAGAAAGTGCAAATGCAAAAGATAGGTTAATATATTAGAGTTTCTAAAAACGAGGTACAACTTTTTATAGTTTGTAGGAGTAGGAGAGATTGTGTAGGTAGGTAGATGATGACAACAAGCAAATGAGAGTGAACTATAATAATCTGTTTTCTGATTACAATTCTGTAGTTCTTTGGTAGAGAAGAGTAGCAGCCTTAAAGAGGAAGGTGAATAAGTCTACTCTAGGTTGTAATTACATACATATATTAAGTCATTCAATGAGAACATTTACTTTTGAGAATCACATAAATTTATATTTAATTTATGTGGTCTAATTAATACTATCTTTTGAAGTTATTCTAATGGAATAAGTAAAACATAGGAGAGATGAATGGATAGAGATGAGAGGGTCAGAAATAACAGGGGCCTCAGTCAGAGCTGTCAAGCCTATGTTAACTGTCCTCATTTGGACTTGAGTGTGTGGAGGGCAATACCTGAAGGAGTGTGGGATCTGCAGGTGTAGCAGCTGTTAAATTTACACAAAATATGTTGGATGAAGGTTTGAGTAGGAAAAGTGGTCAGATGGAGGCTATATCTGTGAAATAAGAGTAAATTTTTTAAAAATTACATTTTTAGCAATTTTTTTAAGGATTAAATTTCAATTATGTTTAATGTATAGGTAGAGTTCTTTGGTTTATTATTGATTGATTGATTGATTGATTTTAGAGAGGAAGGGAGGGAGAGACAGACTTATCAATTTGTTGTTCAGCTGTTCCACTTATTTAGGCATTCATTGGTTGATTCCTTGTATGTGCCCTGATGGGGAATCAAACCCACAACCTTGGTCTGTGGGGTCAGTGCTCCAACCAACTGAGCTAGAGTTCTTTCTTTGAAAAGTTAATTGAACATCAGAACTATTTGATGCTCCTTAGACTAAAAGATTATTCTATAGTTTAAGAGAAAATGTTTTCTGTTTACAAAGCAAATTCTCAGTAAATATTCAAGGATTGGCAAACTTTTTCTATAAACCGGCAGATATTTTAGGCTTTTTGGGCCACAAATGGTCTCAGTCTCATATTGTTCTTTGTATGTGTATGTTTTTAAACAACTATTTAAAATGTAAAAACTACTCTTAGCTTGTGGGCCATATAAAAGCAGGCTTGGGCCAGATTTGGCATTTAGGCTGTAGTTTGCAAGCCCTTACTCTAAAATACTTCCCCCCCAAATGTTTGGTATTTAAAATTTATTGTTAATGCTTTATTAAAAATATTATGTTTTTAGAGGGAACCAGATGTTCTTAAGATACCTTGAGACCAGATTTTTTTTTTTTTTTTTTTTTTTTTTTTTGCAATTTGGGCAAAAATACTAGGTTTGGAGAATTTGGAGAGAAGATTGAAGAGGCAAAGAAGTGGAGCTGCAGTCAGGTCAAAGATTAGGATCACATGATGCCTGGAATGGTAGTAGGTGTCAAGAGTTATATAAGGGTTGTCTGATAGATTGGTTTAGGACCAGCCGATATCATATATCTGAGCTATTTGATTTCTTTCCTCATCAATATCTTTTTTCTGTCTCCTGGGTAAGAACCTTATCATTTTTCAGTCTCCTAGTGCTCTAGCTCTTTTCTCCATTTTAGTGGAAATGAACACTTGAGTAGGATTGGGAGGGGGGAAGGTAGGGGATCTAGGTTTCATCTTGGTTCTTTGGCTGACTTGTGTGACATTTGGTTTCTTTGAACTTTACTTTTCTTACTTGTAAAATGATAGGACTGATTAGATTATTTCTGAGCTATCTTTCATCTTGAATTCTGTATTCTTCTGAGATTCCCTAAAATGATACTTGATTTGTATTTGCTTTTCTCTCTTTTTATTCTGTTGGTTCTGCTATTTGTTTCACTCTGTGCCCCAAATCACTATGAATTTGAACCTAAGGATTAGAATTCCATTGACTCTATCAACTATGTATCAGGGAGAAATACTTTAAAAAAACAACAAAGTAATAACCCATTCTCTAAATGTCAAACATTTTTAAATGCAAGACAGAATTATGAATATTTAGTATTAGACACCTTATTTTTCACTAAGAGGACAATGTAGTATTAGATAGTGTACTAATGTATACCACACTCTCCATATCCATAAGGAAGTACAGGCATACCTTGTTTTATTGCACTTTATTGCTTTTTAAAAAATATATTTTATTGATTTTACAGAGAAGAAGGGAGAGGGATAGAGAGTTAGAAACATCGATGAGAGAGAAACATCGATTAGCTGCCTCCTGCCTGCCCCCTACTGGGGATTGCCTGCAACCAAGGTACATGCACTTGACCGGAATCGAATCTGGGACCCTTCAGTCCGCAGGACGACACTCTATCCACTGAGCCAAACCAGTTAGGGCATTGCTTTCTTTTATTTAAATCCCACGTCAAGGAAATCTGTCGGTGCCATTTTCCAAACAGGTTTAGGTGATGATTAGTATTTTTTTCAGCAATAAAGTATTTTTTAACTAAGGTATATAATTGTTTGTAGACATAATGCTGTTGCACATTTAGCAGTAAAGTGCAAACATAACTTTTATATGAACTGGGAAACCAAAACATTTATGTGACTCATTTTATTGCGATACTCGCTTTCTGTGGTGGTCTGGAACCGAACCTGTAATATTTCTGAGATATGCCTGTATTAGGATAGGTTCTTGATGTGGTTTATCTTAGGTAATTTAAGGATGATAAATTTTTAAGAAATTCCATCTCTATCTTCCTTGCTGTTCTCTCAAATCTTTGGAAGTATATTTTAAAAAAGCTAAAAAATGTTAATCTTCAAACTGAGATTAGGATTTAAATTAACATTAAATATTTTCAAGAAAATATAGTTATCAGAACAAACATTTAATTTTATTGATACTTGTACAAGTAATATAACTGCTTTTTAAGTCAGTGTAGCATTATGTGTAAGAATGAATGCTGTTTACTGTGTCCATTTCTGGTAAGTTTATAAGAAAGGTTTATAGAACATTATTCAAACTAAAATTCTTATAAACTAAAATTTTTTTAAGCCATTCCTATCTCTTCTCTCAACTACTGAAAACAGCTGGTACTGTCTGCTTTAGTTCCTCGTGTCTTAAAAAATCACGAGAGATCAAAGGCAATGTGAATGAAAAGGTAGTGTTTCTCCAGTCTGCCCAAGAGCTAAAACGTACTGGGCTTGGTGTTCAAGTAGTTAGTCGAAAGCAAGTAAAGGAGATAGAAAATAATGGTATAAAATAATAGCAGAATGGAGGTAATTCCAAAGTTAGGTACTAACAGAGAGTGGAAAATCTAAACCCTAAGAAACTTACCATGTAAGATAGTATTTTCTTTAAAAAACTCTCCCTCTTGTTTAAAAATTCCCAAATTAAGGAAATCCCAAAGGTTATCAGTATGCATGGAAAGTAGGATTTATACAGTTCCTAATTAATTTCAAAAGTGTAGTTTACATCATTTTATAAAAAATGAGTAACTGAAATTACCCAGTTCAGTTTGTTAGTAACTAACTGTTTTATGAAAGGTGAATAATTTAAACCGTGTTTGTAATTTGAGTAATTAAAGGCTTAGTTGAAATATTAATTTACTAATGAAGAAACACACATTTAAAGTATTTTTTATTTTATTTATTTATCTGTCTATTTATTTAGAGGGAGGGAAAGGGGTTGGCAAACTTTTTCTGTAAAGCCCCAGCTAACATTTTACACTTTGCAGGCCATAAGGTCTCTGTTATAACTGGTCATCTCTGCCATTGTAGTTTGAAAATACTTAAGCAAGTAGAATGGCTGGGTTCCAATAAAATTTTATTTATGAAAACTGAAATTTGAATTTTACATAATTTTCATACATCACAACATTATTTTTTCAATCATTAAAAATGTAAACACCATTCTTAGCTTTTGGGTTGTAGAAAAAGATGGCGGGTGGTATTTGGTTTGTCAGTCATGGTCTGCCAAACCTTGCTTTAGCCTAAAACTGGAGAAAGTCAGTATTGGTGCAGAGTAGCAAATTTAACAGTTGTGGTTAAAAATATGAATAACGATGTTAAATTTCTAAACATTTAAATTTGATTTTTTTTGATATTAGAGCTATATATTTTTTTGTTTGTATTTAAATTTTGCAGACCGTTGATATTCATAAAGAGAAAGTTGCAAGAAGAGAAATTGGTATTTTGACTACCAATAAAAACACTTCAAGGACACATAAGATTATTGCTCCAGCCAATCTTGAAAGACCAGTTCGTTATATTAGAAAACCTATTGACTATACAATTCTAGATGATATTGGACATGGAGTAAAGGTAAGTATAATTTTTGTCAAACTTTTTAAAACAATAGCCCATGATGGAACTAACTCTAGAAAATTAAGCTTTTATCTTTCCTTTTCTAGAGAACGAAGTCTTTCTTATCTTAGCCCAGTTGTGGTTCTGAAGGGTCCTTCCTGCTTTAAACTATTTTAACTTCTTGCTTCTTCTTAGTGCTATGTTCTCAAGTTTTAAATAATTATCTTTGAATGAATTGCATTTGCTTAGTTAATGATAATAATTAGTTAATGATAATACCTCATATATATGATAAATAAATGTGGTATAATCTTATTTACCTTTTAATGATTTAATATGACTGATTAAAATCATTCATTATGTTTTTAAGTATTAATCTTAAAATTTTTACGATAAAAATTTATTAGCAAACTTTGGGCATTAGTTTTCAGAAAGAACATAAATAAACAAAAATGCACTTTGATTTTTCTAAAATAATTTTATCTTAACATTTTGGGTGAGAATAATTTAGATAAAAGTAATATGTGAATTAATATTTCCACTGCTTTTGCATATATGGTCATTGTATTTTTTGGCTATCTTCTAAAATTCATTTGAGTGCCTGCTATGTATATAAAGTACCATGATCAAAACTTGAGAGGTATATAAATTTTATTTAAATTGGTGTTTGTACTTAAGAAAGTATTCAGAATTTTAACTAAGTATTAAGTTATTTAAAATTTGCATCTCACCAATGATTTTAAAGTCAATAACTTATGAAATGTGACTTGAATAAATATATATGCTTATAAGTGAAACTGTATAGTTTATGCAGTTGATTTATGACTATAAGCAAATTTAAATTAAAAAATACTCTGCTATTTGGCTAGTATGTGCATGAAAATGTACAATGTAAATTTAAAAACTTTTTCTTCCTCAGAATTTTGATAATAAGCACTATTTGGAATTTGATATTTAATTTTATAATCGACACCTACATATATTTGGATTACTGTATTAGAACATGTTAATATAGGATGTGTAATTGGATAGATAATTAATTGAAATTTATTTCAGCTTGGGAAAACCTTTTGAGATTTATTCAAGACTAGCAACTGCTAATAGAAAATTTTAGGGTACTGCCAGAATCTAATGACAAAAAGGCACTTTGAATATAAAACTATTTGTACTTGCTCACTTATATAATAAAATGGTGATTCTCTGCTTCAATGCTCATTTAATTCTTGAAGTAAAATGTTATTGTTTTAGGAGTGTGCAGTCCCTTTCAATTGTTTGGACTTTTAGTTGTTAGGGTCACTAATTTGAAGAAATCTTTAATAAAGTTAAGGTTTTGAATAAAACAGTGTCATATAATTTCATCAAAAAACTCTTGTTCATGACACATTCTGCTTTAACCACTCTTTCTATGATCTACTGAAACATTATTTTTTAATGCTGAATGCTTAACTTGTTTTTTCTTTGTTTTTCCCTTTCTCTTTACATCCTGAAGTTCCAACTAACCTTTCAATGCTTTTTTTCCTTACCTCTTTTATTTGCTCCATTTATGCATTAAGTGGTTGCTTAGATTTAAGGTAAGATTCCAGGGCTGGATTTCCATTCTCTGTTCTTATGTAGAACATTACATATGGGGAGTGAAGAGATATTTGGCAGTTGGCCTTTTAAAACCAAATAATTCCTGTTTTTATTTATTTTTATTTTTGTCATGCAACTTTGTGGTGTCTTCATGTTCCATGAGGGCAGTTATTTTTGTATATTCATTGCCCTATCTTGTGTGCCTAGACTAGTGCCTGACTCTTCATTAGGTGCTTAGTAAATATTTATTCAATAAATGGTTAATATATTCTGTGAAACTGAAATGTAAGTTACCCTATCATAAACTGTTATTATGAAATAAAATTAGCTGGATTATGTAAATGTAGAAATTTTGTTAAGGGTTGGAGAGCCAACTAATGTGCTTTGTTTAACCCTCCCCCTGTGTAATAGCCTTTTTATTCTATAAATGGTGTGCTATGTTATATACCTTGTGGCCACTATATCATTATCTCTTGATTCTTAATGTAAAGAAATTGAGAAGCAGAAAATATTCAGTGTTACAGGGTGTGTTTTTTAAGTTGCAGTATCATGTATTTTGCAAAAAAATAAAATTAGTCTTTTTCTTCAAATTGCTATGTAAAATATATGCTTCAATATAAAATCACTTTGAGTTTCCAAGCCGAGGATTAATTATATGCAAAACATCAAAAGTGCATGATAGTGTTTAACAAAATACAAGTTAAGAATTAGAAATATTTTCTTTGGTTATTTGTTTTAGTAATATTTTAATATTTTGGAGAATTAATGGTAAAAGACACTCTAGTTACAAGAAGCCTATCAAATAGTACGTTACTAAAATTATTTCACCAAATTGAGCTTGCATTTTCTTTCTTTTCTTTTTTCCTTAGGTGAATTTTCAAATACATATTCTTTCTAATACCTAGTTGTTTGCCATGTCTTCAATGTAGAAAGTGATAGCAAGAAGACAAAATCACTGAGATCTGAATTATTAACTAGCTACGCACCATGTGGCCACAGAAATTTCAATAGATTGTGGCAGGGAGATGCGATTAGAGGAGCCAGGCAAATGCACTTCCTGTGCTAGTGATCATGCTGGCTCCGTGCTCTCAGGCTTGGTGAATGAGGCTTGTGGAATTGTGAGGAGATTTCCTTTGTATCAAACAGGTAGAGCCAGACCCAAAATAGTGTGTGGCTACCTTGGCTCTCTCTCTAAAGTCTATATTCAGATTTTGGCTATTGATATGTTAATCTTCAAAATAAATGAAATACACAGAGATTAACAAGGAAAAACACAGAAATGAACAAAATGGATCAATTCTTTTCCTTTAAAGTTTAGACCAGCTTGCCTAAGCTACTATCCCATGCTCATTTCCTCCAAACCTACTATGATTTCTTCTTGACCTTTCTGGATTCAGGATCTTCATGTGGAAGATAGGGCAGAATGAGTGGGAAATGAGAGACTCCTTGAAAGAAAGATCTAATATGGAAACATCACACTTGGATAAGATTCCGTAACATCTTTGTACCAGATAGCTCCTCTCCCTAGTACAGTGGCTCTGTAAAGTGTAGCTGTTTCTACTGTACCTGCGTGGAGTTGACAGGGTGAGAAGAGTCCCCTGAGGTTACTCTAGGATCTAGAGTGCACCAATGCTGTCTTTTCTTTCTTCCTATTCCTCTTTGAATATGCCTGTCCGCTATATAAACTTGGGGCACCTTAAGAATTTTGGGTGAACCAAAACAGTGAAAAATTAAGCATATAGCAAATCATTTCTCTTTTCATGGTGGAAAAAAAAGATTAGTGGTTTTGGAAGGGTGATTAATGGAATAATAGAACATATTGAGGTAGAGAATAGAATTAAAGGAAAAAAGATTAAAGTTATAAGGGACTACAAATAACTAACTAGTCCCATAGTTTTCCAACTGAGCTTCTTGGTGACCTGTGGATTTTATCAGGTGCCAGGGAAGTCTCCTGATATTTGGTGGTGTTATCTGCTCTTTTGATTTCTCCTCAGCTCTTCTTCCGCTCTGTTTTGCTCTCATTGCTGTCAGGTTTGATGCCTTTGGGATAGACTCTAAACAAAGTTAGTACTTTGGGATCAGACACATGGGAATTGACTCAAAAGAGACTTCCATGCTTAAAAGTTGAATTTTAAACTTTTTAACCTCATATTCTGGTGTGTGTTTTAAATTTTATTTTTATTGTTGAGGTTATTACAGATGTCCCACATTTTTCCCACCTACATCCAGCTCCTGCCCTACCTCAGGCCTTCACCACATTATGGTCTGTATCCATGGCTGAAGTTCTTTGGCTAATCTCTCCCTGCCTCCATCCCCCCACCCCTCCACCCTGAGATCTGTCAGTCTGTTCCATGCTTCCATGTCTCTGGACCTATTTGTTGGTTAGTTTATTTTGTTCATTATATTCCACATATAAGTGAGATCATGTGAAACTTGTCTTTCTCTGACTAGCTTATTTCACCTTAGCATAAAAATCTACAGGTCCATCCATGATGACTCAAAGGGTAAGAAATCCTTCTTTTTTGTAGCTGCATAGTATTGCATTGTGTAAATGTACCACAGCTGTTTTATCCACTTATCTATTGGTGGGTACTTGGGCTGTTGCTAGATCTTAACTATTGTAAAAAACACTGCTGTGAACAGAGGCGTGCATATATTCTTTCTGATTGGTGTTTCCGGATTCTTTGGATATATTCCTAGAAGTGGGATTGCTGGGTCAAAGGGGGGGTTCCATATTTAATTTTTTTAGGAAACACCATACTGTTTTCCATAATGGCTACAACAATCTGCATTCCCACCAGCAGTGTGCTAGGGTTCCCTTTCCCCACATCCTTGCCAGCACTTGTTGTTTGTTGATTTACTGATGGTAGCCGTTCTGGCAGGTGTGAGGTGTTATTGCCATTTTAGTTTGTGTGATTAGTAATGCGGAGCATTTTTTCATGTCTCTTGGCCATCTGTATGCCCTATTTGGAGAAGTGTCTATTTAAGTCGTTTGCCCATTTTTAAATTGGATTGTTTGTCTTTCTTTTGTTGAGTTGTATGTGTTCTTTATATATTTTGGAAACGAACCCCTTATTGGATGTATCATTGGCAAATATTTTCCCATATAGTGGATTTCCTTTTCATTTTGTGGATGGCTTCTTTTGCTGTGCAGAAACTTTTTATTTTGATGTAGTCCCATTTGCTTATTTTTTCCTTTGTTTCTCTTGCCCTAGGACATGTATCAGCGAAAATTCTGCTACATGAGATGTCTGAGGTTTTACTGCCTATGTTTTCTTCTAGGACTTTTATAGTTTCGTGACTGACATTAAAGTTTTTAATCCATTTTGAGTTTATTCATGTGTATGGTGTAAGTTGGTCTAGTTTTATTATTTTTGCATGTACCTGTCCAATTTTCCCAAAATCATTTGTTGAGAGACTGTTTTTATTCCATTGTATGCTCTTGCCTCCTTTATCAAATTCTGGGATCTCTGTTCTGTTTCATTGTTCTATATGCCTGTTCTTATGCCAGTACCAGGCTGTTTTGATTACAGTGGCTTTGTAATATAGTTGATAGCTGATATTGTGATCCCTTCAACTATGGTGTTCTTCCTCCAGATTACTGCGGCCATCAGGGTCTTCTGATAGTGTTTAAAGCAGGGGTCCTCAAACTGTGGCCCGCCGAAAACATTTATCCGGCCCGCCGGGTGTTTTTGCCGCAGCTGTGTGCATAGGAATTTGTTCATAGTTTTTTTTAAAAACTATAGTCAGGCCCTCCAACGGTCTGAGGGACAGTGAACTGGACCCCTGTTTAAAAAGTTTGAGGACCCCTGGTTTAAAGGTTCTTTTCATCTGTAATTTGGGTTGTTTTTTCTTCAGTCGATTGAGGAAAACAAGTTGTAGAGTTTAATTTATAAACCCTTTGAACACAAAACATTGAAAACCCTTTTTGTTTATTGTAAAGGTAGTACAGGATCAGTGACGTATGAATTACAGATTTTTCCAACATTCCGTAGGGACTCTGATTTCTTAAGTGGTTTAAGTTACTCATCCAAACCTCATAATCCAAACAAATACAAACATGATGATTTTACAGATAATAAAATGTACCAAGTTTTATTTATAGAAATTTCCACCAGATTTTAATTTATATATTGTTTATTTTATATTTTGGTTGGTGGAGTAAAAGACCTAAAGAAGATACTGCAATTTAAATGAAAACACCTTACATACCAAAAACTTAAATCAGAGTTGGAAAGCTGATTTCATGTATTTTATTCCATGTATAGAATAAAATTTTCCTTTACTCTTTTTCTATCCCTGCTCCTTTTCCTTCCTTTATAGCAAATTGCTGTAGTTTAGTATTTGGTTCACTGACTTCTCCTTCATCATTTAAAGTAACTTTGGGGTCTGTGTTGTTTAAGGTTGAGCTTAAAGGACTTTGGTTACTATTTTTAAAAAATCTTGTCATAAATTAAAATTTATAGTTTTAAAAGCTATTAGTTATTTGTCATGTTACTTCTAAAATTTTCAACAAATGTGGATTGATTTTTTAAAAAAACTACTGGCATTTTCATTTTAAGATATGATACCCTCTGCTTATTGATAATGGGGAGAACAAGGATAAGTTAATCTTTATTTTATTCTTACTTGGTAACCAGTTTGTCTTACATTGTTTAAAAGCAACAACAAAAGGATTATTGATAAATGCTTCACTTTAAAAATACTGACATTTCAAAGGTATCATTTGTCATTAAAGATTGTTTTATCATCACACACAACTTGTTCACTGGGCTATTCATTTGAAGAGTTTGCTTCTTGTTCTATTATTTCTTGCCTATTCACATGACAGGTAGTGTTTTAGGATTTTAAAAAATTCCATTCAGTACTCTGTATACAATTATGATTTATTTTCTTAAACTTTATTTTTGAAATTACATATTTAAATGTATTCTGATTCCAGCGGTGTAATGTCTTGAAGTTTCATTTTACTCATGTAATTTGAATACTATACACATTCTTATTAGAAAAGTTAAGATTCTCTTTTGAAGTGTTTAGCAATCCAAAATACCAGGGGCTTAAGATAGCGTTAGGCATGAGCCTATATGGTGAATATTACACTGTTAAAAATCTCAAACAATTTGAGATTGCACTTGAATTACATTTGTGAATGACTTTTCTCAGCTCCTTAAAACATCCTGATTTCTGGGGCTGGCTGTGTAAGTGCTGACATACTCCTTTTGTGTTATCTATTGTTCCCATTTTACCCAGCTTTTCTGCACTTGCATTTTTAGTTGGGGATAGGATAGTGAGGAGTCAGGCCCCAGCTCTGACTCAGGACTGTGTTGCTGACATCTTTCCCGTGACTGAATTAATCTTCATTTTGGGCCTGAGTGGGTCTCATTCCCACTGGAACAAGGACATTGCCTGTGGTCCCTGTACTGCTCACAGTTGAAAGGGATATCTCAGCCCTAACTTTCTAGTTCAGATGTTTAGGAACATGCCTTAACTTCTGGCAGTGTGTAGGTAGGTGATTCCTTCATAAGAGAACTGAAAGAAATCTGAATTGTAAGGCTGATCCACTATTAAAAAACTAAAATTTTATCTGTATATCATGCAATTGAACTTTATTTTGCGTTTTCTAGTTACTGGATCAAAACTATAGTTGTATATTTTATTTGAGAAGCGTATTTTGTTTTGTATGATATACTTACTATCTAAAAAACAAGGAATTGTTTAAGAGTGTCATTGTATCTGATTGAGTTTATTTTTTATTAAAACTGAAGTTTTTATAGTTATCCTATTTAATTTCAATTGAGTGTAGTATCAAATGGTCCAACCAGTGATCTGTTGGTGTGATGGCCTAATGGCAAATAAAGTCTTTGCATACAAGTTTACAATCATTTGAAAATTTCACATTAGGAAGAGTCCTTTGAGTACAACTGTAGAATAATAGTGGAGTAGAAATTGCAATTGAAATGCATGGCCTCCAATTCTTTTCCCTATTTAAACCTTCCCCTTCTTTATTAAATAGCATAACATTATTTCCCCAAAATACTACTTTGTTTCACTGCATACAAATTGAATTTTCCTCAAAACTTTTTAGGTGAGTACCCAGAATATGAAGATGGGTGGGCTGCCACGTACAACACCTCCAACTCAGAAACCTCCCAGCCCCCCTATGTCAGGGAAAGGGACACTTGGGTGAGTATGTAACTAAGTAATAAGAAAATGATTTCATGTAGTGTTATGGGAAACTAAACACTACATATATTTAATTTATTTTTGAAGATTTGAAAAGATAACATTTTCCTTCCTAGCATTATCTTTTTGTGATAATTTTCCCTTTTCTTGGGAAACATTTTAATACTTAAAAAGATTTTCTTTAGAATTTATTTTTCTAATGAATTTTACATTTAAGATGAAATCCTAACTAAAGTTCCTGGGTTATTATAAATTGCACTCTAATTCTTATTTTCATAAAAGTTTTAGTCTTTTGTATTATAGTTGCTATCCTTATTTAGACTATTCCTCTGAAGAGCACTGCAGATTATAAAATTCTGTACTCTCAAGTTATGAGAATAGTGAGCTTTAATTTGATCCTACAGAAGTGGGCTCTGGATTTGACTTTTGGCAGAAATGTTCAATTAATAGAAAAGCTTGACTTTTTTCTTCTGTAGCATCGCAGTATAAAAACTTGGTTTATCGTGGAGATTTGTGATCAGGTAGGCATAATACACCTCAGAAGTCAGATGACCAAGATTGTGATCCAGCCTTGCTCCTGTTCTGTGGTCTGATATCGTCAGCCTCTTAGTAAATTGTTTTTTCATCTGTAAAAGGGGGTAATATTTGTCATTTATCAATTTTTCAGAGTCACTACCATGAATTGGATTTTTTAAAAAAATAGATAAAACAAATTGCTTTGACAACCATTGTCTTTATGATATATGCTTAAACATTTTTAATTGACAATCTTGTTTTGGGCCCCCTCACCAAAAAAACCCCAAAAAACACACACAAAAAACAAACAGAAACAAAACAAAACAAATGAAAACCAAAAACACACAGAAAATCATAATCAAGCAATGTGAATCAGAAGACAAAGATGAATTGGGATATAAAAAAGGATGATGTTGGAAATTATAATTAGGACAGTGGGAAACAAAAGAATAAAAATTCTAGCCAGAAATAGGATTTTATTTAGGTAGACAAAAAAAAAATTCTGATGAATTCCAGCCAGGAATAGGATTTTATTTAGGTAAACAACCAAAAAATTCTGCTTAGATTAGAGAGGAACGAATCTAGTAGATCAAATAGGATTTACTCCTCAGGCTAGGATGTAGACGACGTGGTGGAGTGTAACTGCAGAGGAAAGAGAGTCAAATCAACAGGAAGTGCTTGCTTTATTTTCCTGTGAGCACGTACAGTTCTGTCATGTATAGCACCTATGGATTTTGTTAGGTTTTAAATCAAGATTATTAGCAAGGTAACCCACTGTAGTCACTAGTAAAATAAATTTTCTGTTGCTCTCAAGTTTTGACGGTTTACTCATATACCAGTACTTGTTCTACTTGTGTGTTAACAAGGATTCTGCAGGATCATCAGGCTCTGGGCACCATAAACTGGTTGAGGGTCATAGCCTGGCCATCATGCAGTCTTTGTCTAGCCACCACATTTTGCTCCTCCGTCCCTTGTTTTTTACCTTGTTTTTGTCATTGCCTTCACTGTATAGTTCTTAGTCAGCAAAAGTTTTTTTCTTGCTTGAAACAGAACGTTTTTGTTGTCTGGGAAAAATTGTCTGGAAATCAGATGTTTGGAAATTAATCAGTTTTCTATTATGGTTTTTCATATTTATGCATAGTTTCAGAGATGCCTAAACTTTTTAGTATTTTAAGTGCAAAGTCCTGACATTCCTTTCCCCCCCTCTTTAACCCAATATCTCATCTAGTGCCCCTTATTTATTTTTCGTTATAAATGTACGTATGTATTTATGCAAGGAGATTTTGAGGGTAGCGGAGTGGCTGGGGTCTTCCAAAGTGATCTCATCCCAAATCGGTGAACCATGATGTGAGTAACCCAAGAGAGCAGAACTGAAAGGAAACTTGGGAGCTTTGGAGGCGAGAATTGAGACATTCATAAGTTAAGTGGGCAGCATCATTTCAGGAAAAGAAAGTTTAATTTTCACATCTTGAGATCCCACTTTTTATACTTTAAAAAAAATAATTTCAGAGAGGAAGGGAGGGGGAGAAAGAGAGAGAAACATCAATGATGAGAGAGAATCATTGATTGGCTGCCTCCTGCATGCCTCACTGGGGATCGAGCCCACAACCCAGGCATGAGCCCTGACTGGGAATTGAACCGTGACCACCTGATTCCTAGGTTGACGCTCAACCACTGAACCACGCCGGCCGGGCCCAATTTTTTTCTTTTAAAGATCAGAATCTCATCTACAAAATGTTAGTTGAGAATTTATCATTGTCTTAAAAAATTTGGAAACTATACTCTGAACACATGTAACTAATACAAAATAATATTGAATGTAAACTGTGATTGAAAAATAAACAATTAAAAATATATCTAAATGTTAACACACACACCAAAAAATAATTTGGAAACTGTATTTCCTTTCTTATTCTTTTCATTCTCTTCCTTTAAAAGCAAATTAAGACACATATGTAATACCTTAATCAATAAAGGAAAAAAAAGGGGTAATATGTTAATAGAATCCAATTTGTTTTGTACTTTATAGTTCAGAGTAAATAAGGTAGAAAGACTTAGGCCTTTTTCTACCTCCCCCCTTCCTTTTAAATGTTGAACTCTGAGGGAGGGTCAGAGGTAGAGAGATCAAGGTGAAAGTTAGAGGAGGAAGTGAGGTGAGAATGGAAGGAGATGAGATGAAATTGTTTGTTTTAGTGTATGGATATAGTGTAATTTCTGTGTAGTCACTGTATAGAAAAGGAAGTATAGGGTTATAGTTGCTACTGATCTTCAATGTGGGGTTGTGGAGCCTGTCTCTGTGTATCTTTGGTTAGGGAGAGAGGGGTGAGGAAGATAATTGGTGCATTCATGCAATGCCGTTGGGAGACTTGGACATGGTACTAAAATAATTTGAACTCATCCAAGAAGAGTCTGAAACATTGGCTTATCTGGTGGGAGAACCTTTGTGCTCACTGAGGATGAATGAACAAAATTGCATTAGCACAGGGAAATGAGGTTGGAGACTAAAAAATAACAATACTCATCACAATGATGGAGAAATTTTACTTAAGGAAAGACTGAAATGGTACCTGGGTTATGTAAACACATTTTTCTATCTCTCAGTACAAATTGTATCTCACTACTGGCAATTCTTTGAATTTATTGTGCCGAAACTTGCTGATCACACAATACATCCGCTCTTCTTTTTGTAGGCGGCACTCCCCCTATCGCACACTGGAGCCAGTGCGTCCTCCAGTGGTACCCAATGATTACGTACCTAGCCCAACCCGTAATATGGCTCCCTCGCAGCAGAGCCCTGTGAGGACAGCTTCTGTGAATCAAAGAAATCGAACTTACAGGTATTTTCTCTACCTCAGTGCAGAATGTGATGGTCACAGTACCATTATTTGTGCAGATCACTTCAGTTAAATCTCTCTCATTTTCCAAGCACTAAGTTCTTTTCCTCACTCTGCTCTCCCAAACCTCATCTAATTCCACCTCTCTCTCCTCATGTTCTGATGCAACTTTGCGCAGTCAGGAAGTTGGGGGGAGGGGTGAGGGGGTAGACATATTAAAGTATAAACTTCTCTGCAAAATTAATAGTTATAATTGACCTTAAAAAAATATAGACCAGATATGGGAAATTTCAAGTTGTTTTTTGGTGGAACTTTACAGATGAAAAACTACATGTAGTAAAACATTGATATGAGATAGTATATCAAGATACTATGACAAATAAAATTAATCAAATAGTCTGTTCAGAAGTTTCTTCAGACAGGCAATAAACTGGAGTAAAAGAAAGTCTTTTTTTATGTTTTGAGCCCCTTCATTTATTATTTATGTTTATAAAATTTTTTTTTCTTTAATATATGCTTAATAAGCAGTGGTCAAAACAAGTTTCTTGAATTCTGCTTTTTCCTCTACTAATTAAGAAACTCATCTTTGAAGTAAAAGGCTTGAATTATTTTTATTGTTACTGTATTCATCAGAAAATGCTGGGAAGTGCTGGAGATCCCTCTCTGCATATAAATACTCATGTCTTGGTGGCTCCTGTTTCTTTAGCAGCAGTGGGAGTAGTGGAGGAAGCCACCCCAGTAGTCGGAGCAGCAGCCGGGAGAACAGTGGAAGTGGGAGTGTAGGCGTTCCCATCGCTGTTCCTACTCCCTCTCCTCCCAGTGTTTTTCCAGGTAAAACATGAATGATGCTTCATCTTCACTTGTCCTTTCTGAGTTTAAATTCAGTTTCTGATTTCATTACAGTGGGCTTTCTTCATAATCACGATTTGTATTTCCTTTTGGACTCCATAAATGTTGGGAAATCTTTATTGTGCTTTTGTTATTTTTAACCAAGTAATTTGCCAGTTGATGCTCACACACTTCTCTGTACTTTGGTTTTACGTCTTCGGTGCCGCAAGCTCTGTGGGTGCTTAGAGGTTTCAGGCCCCACCTTGGTGTATTGTATGTTCCATTCCAGCTGTGTGATGGCAGTGCATGCCTTAGGACACAGGAGACTCAGTGTGAGAAATCATATTTATAACAAAGGGTTGGACAAATATCACAGTAATTTTGACAGTTAAATTTAGTGGAGTGTTGGAATTGAATAGTTTCTGAAATGCTACCCTCTTTTCTCTGAAACAGAAAAATGTTTTTATTTAATCTGAGGACACCAAAGTTAAAATTCAGTTTTAAAAGCATGACACAAAAGACATAGGGATAGACTATCACATAATTAATTTACTAATTTAACTTACTTATCTTAATAACAAATAGATACTACCTTTTAAAAAAACGATGGAAAAGAGAGATTTGTGTTTTTCTGAATGTTTTTTTACCTGATAAGATATTTATGTCTGGAACATATGCTTGTTTTCTGATTTGGGTAATTCGGTCTGGAATGCTGTTGTTTCTTAGTATTTAGTGTTGTATATCACTTACAGAATATTATGCTAAAGATTACAATATGAAGGGAACATTTTTCTTACAGAATAGTGGCTGTCAGGTAAAAAGGAATGCTTGTTTCTTAATGAATTAAAGAATTCATTTAATTGTGTCTTGAATTATTTGCTGCACATCTAATAATCCTGTAACATAAGTTTTATTCATTTTGCTTTTTAACGTCCTCTTCTGTTCTTTGGTTAGTGTTGAGCACTGATATCTAACTTTAAGTCCTCTTATGCCTTACTCCTCTGCCTACTCAGATTGCCTCATTAATGCTGCCTCTTCCTCCTCTTTCCCCTCAGCCCCTGCTGGCTCTGCTGGTACTCCTCCCCTTCCTGCTACTTCCGCATCTGCCCCTGTCCCTATTGTTCCTGCTACTGTCCCTTCCTCCACTGCCCCAGACGCAGCTTCTGGGGGTGCCCAGGCCCTTGCTGATGGCTTCGCTTCTCCAACTCCCCCTGTTGTTTCTTCTACTCCCCCTACAGGTGAGTATTGGCTTATTCCTTGGCAGGCACACTCCAGTCATCTGGCTCTCTTACTACTTGGAACTCTGGCTTCGTGATGTTTGTTTGTTTGTGCTTTGTATATATAAGAATAATTTACTAACTAACTGGAAAATGGCACATGACCAAAATAAAATATTCTAAAGAAATTAGGGTAAAGTTTCTCATATATTTTTTCCAATAGAGCAGCACAAATAGAAATTTTTTATTGCCTGAATTTCATTTACTAGAGATTTATGAATTTATTATGGAGATGTCTTATAAACAGTCTTGGAAAGTTGTCATTTAGAAATACTGTCTGTTACAGGTTAGGTTATTAAAAAAAATCTATGACTAATTCTAAGGTATATTTTATAGGAGATATTTGATATAGCTGTAAGTCTCTTATTAGTCTTTTATTACAGAATCTGTTGCTTATTATAGCAGGATTGGAAACATAGACAATGGACTTTTAAAGAATTTCAGGTTTACTTAAGTTTTATTTAAGGTTGACTGTGTTTTGTTGTTTTAAAATTATAACCTAAAATCTGTTTTTTGATGGGGAAGGAGAAAAGGGCTCAATTGCTACAAAATATATTTGCAAAGATAATAATGATGCTGGTGAGTAAATAAGTTCTTATCTATGGTAAAAATGTATGTGTTTGGTTACACATCACCGTAGTTTGCCAAGAACTTCATAGCCCATATAATAAAGAGGTAATACGCAAAGTGACCGCCACGCCCTTGCACAAAGATGGCAGCTCCCATGTGGGCACAAGATGGCCGGCGGGGGAGGCCAGTTAGGGGCGACCAGGCCTGCAGGGGAGGGCAGTTGTGGGTGACCAGGCCAGCAGGGGAGGGCAATTGGAGGTGACCAGGCCGGCTGGGGAACAGTTAGGGGTGATCAGGCAGGCAGGCAGGCAGAAGCGGTTAGGGGCAATCAGGCAGGCAGGCAGGCGAGCAGTTGGGAGCCAGCCATCCCAGATTGTGAGAGGGATGTCCGACTACTGGTTTAGGCCCGATCCCACAGGGTCCCAGATTGGAGAGGGTGCAGGCTGGGCTGAGGGACACCCTCCCTCACCCCCCAGTGCACAAATTTTGTGCACCGGGCATCTAGTAGTATATATTTGGCTCTGCTGCTATGAGCAGATATTTAAATGTGTTAGACACTTTTAGTCAAGATGGATTTTGGATGGTGTTCAATGGGATAACTTCTGTAATAGCATTTTTTAAGAAAAGCTTCCTACAGTGTGCAGATGTAAACATGGGCTGTTCTCTGATCTGCAGACAGCTCTATTTGGCCAGACTGGCAAGTTAACTATGGGAATTTTGTTGTGCCCCTGCATTGATAAGGGTAAATGATACATCCTGCAATCATTGTAGGCCCAGAAAGGACAAATTACCCCACCTGGGAGTCAACATTTTTATAATTTAATAGCAGATGCTGGTTCATAGTCTGCACTGAATAAACATGTTGTATGAGTGCATAACTACAGGTTTTTTAAAAACAAAAAGCAAAGTAGTAAATGCCTCAATAACAATTTATATAGACTAAATCTTTTTTTATACTGTGTCTTCAAATCCCAAGTACTTTTTTTTCTTTTTATTAAGGTATAGTTTATGTATAGTAAAATTTATCCTTTTTAATGTGTATTTCTGCGAGTTTTGAATTGTATGCATTGATATAACTACAACTACCGTCAGGATGTAGAAACAGTCTTAACACCTTCTGATTTCCTCCATGCCCTCGTGTAGTCAGTCCTTCACTTTCACTCCAAGCCCCTGACAACCAGGGGATCTGGTTTTTTTTTGTGGTTTTTTTGTTTTTTTGTTTTGTGTCTAAAGTATTGCCTTTGTAAGAATATCATGTAAATGGAGGCATATGGTATATAGCCTTTTGGGGTCTGGCTTTTCGGCACATTGCATTTGATAGTTATCCGTGTTGTTGCATGTTTCATTATTTTGTTCCTTTTTATTACTGAATAGTGTTCTGTATGGATGAACACAATTTGTTTATACCTTTCCTATTTGAGGGACATTTGGATTATTTCCTGTTTTGGGTGATGATGACTAAAACTGCCGTAAACATTTACACACAGGTTTTTGTGTGAGCTTAGGTTTTCACTTCATTTTATTTCTTTTGTGGATTGTGCTTTTGTGTCATATTTACAAACTCTTTACCTTGCCTATAATTATAAAGATTTTGTCCTGTTTCCTTCTAGAGGTCATTTTAGGTTTTACACTTAGGATTATGGTCACTAACTGTGGTTTTGTTTTGGTTTTCAACCCAAAGCAAAGTAAATGCCTTAGTAATGGTATGCATGGTCTCTTTCATTTAGTGTCTCTGAGTCATGGGGGACTTACCACATGTGGGACTTCAGACTGTAGCTAACTATACAGACTTCATAATGGTGTGAATTATCAAATGTGTTTAACTTGATCCTAGGCTTGTTTTAGTTTGTTCCATATTAACTACTAAAATGCCAATAATGTATTTGTATCTGGTGATTCCAATGACAGAATGTACCTGTTAAATAATATTTTTTTATTTTTTATCATGGTTACAGTGAGTTAACAGTGGATTATGTTTAAGCTTTCATACTCAAGATTTTTATACAATAGAATTGATTTTTAGGTTTCAGTACTGTCAAATGTAAAAAGTGGCATAGCAAATCTTTTTAAAATTATTATTAATACGGTATTTATTTGTGTTCCCTCTGTCAAACCCTGAGCCAACCACTTTCCCCAGGCCGCCCAGGAGGTCTAGGAAAAGAAATACAGGGCAGACCAGACACGGGAGAAAGAACTATGGGAGGTGGAGACAGCCCCTTCCCATGGCGAAGAGGATGAGAAAGGCCCATCAGGCAGAGTCCCGTGGCCTCTGAGAGGACACAGCCCAGAGCACAGGAGAAGCGCTGTTGTTTCCTGGCAGAACCAGTGATGAGGCTCCCTAACCCAGCCCCAGCCCCCGCCCCACAGCCTGCCACCCTCCTGTGGCACCCCGGCCCCAATGAACCTCGCTGCTCTCTCAGTGTCTCTTGAAATGATACTGGTTTAGAAGCTGCGGCTAGAAATAAGTGAGGTCCGGGGCACGGGGCTGCCAAGCTGCTGAGGCTCTCACCTGCCAGTGTCCAGTTCGGCACCACTGCAGACAGTGACCAGCTCAGCAGCTAAAAGGCCCTCCCGACCAAGGACGGGGTGGAGACCACTTGGTACAGGTGTATGTTTTCAGGGGATGAGAGGTATGGCAGCAGAGCTGCTCCCAGGGCAAAAAGACAAGTTACAGCAGATCTTGAGTGCACTTATGATAGTCTTTATATGAGTCCATGAGTCCAGGTTTGATAAATCTATGGAGTTCCTGAAGACTGATTTTTATCATGTAAGACCATTTTACAATCATGGATAACATCAAAAAATGTGTCTTGTCTTTCTTTTCTCCTTTCACTTTCCCTTCTTTCCTCACTTACCCTTTTTCATTTCCTTTCCCTTCCTTCTTTCTCTTCCCCTTATCCTCTCTCCTTCCCTCCTCTTTTCTTCCCCTGTACTTCACTCCTTCTCTCCCTTTTCTCCCTCCCCTTCCCTCTCTTCTTCTCTTTTCCCCCTCTTAATTTTATTTTTAGAGAGAGTGAGAGAAACGTCGATTTGCTGTTCCACTTATTTATGCATTCCTTGGTTGGTTGCTTCTTGTATGTGCCTGACTGGAGGTGAACCTGCAGCCTTGGTGTGTGGGGATGACATGGAACCAACTGAGCTATCCAGCAGGGCCCTCTCTGCCTCTTGCCTGCTGGAGTGGTCTCTCTGCGTGCTCGAGTGCTTTGTCTGTCTGGACCAGTACGCCCCAGCCAAATGGTTTGGAGGGGAAGTGAAGACAAAATTTAGGAACTGGTTTGCATGAGGAAATTGGATGGTTAGGAAAGACTGTCTTCAGTTGGCATTAGTTATTGAAGTGCTCTCAGAGATCAAAATACAGTGAAATTGCCGAAAAATAGGTTAATGGATGTTATTAAAAATAAGGTATATTTTGATTTGCTTTTAGTTTTTTCTCATAACTGTAATTCTTTTTTTTTTAAATTTTTTAAAAATTGTTTTATTGCTTAAAGTATTGCAAGGAGTATTACATATGTCTCCTTTTTTTCCTGCCCTTGAAAATCCCCTGGCCTCTCTACCCCCCAGTGTCTTATGTCCATTGGTTATGTTTATATGCATGCATACAAGTCCTTTGGTTGATCTCTTATCCCCCCTCCTCCCCCCCCCAACCCTCCCTGGCCTTCCCGCTGTAGTTTGACAGTCTGTTCGAGGCTGCTCTGCCTCTGTATCTATTTTTGTTCATAAGTTTATAATGGTCTTTATTATCTATAAATGAGTGAGATCATGTGGTATTTTTCCTTCTTTGACTGGCTTATTTCACTTAGCATAATGCTCTCCAGTTCCATCCATGCCATTGCAAATGGTAAGAGTTCCTTCCTTTTTAGAGCAGCATAGTATTCCATTGTGTAGATGTACCACAGTTTTCTAATCCATTCATCTACTGATGGGCACTTAGGCTGTTTCCAGATCTTAGCTATGGTGAATTGTGCTGCTATGAACATAGGGGTGCATATGTCCTTTCTGATTGGTGTTTCTGTTTTCTTGGGATATATTCCTAGAAGTGGGATCACAGGGTCAAACGGGAGTTCCATTTTCAGTTTTTTGAGGAAGCTCCATACTGTCTTCCATAGTGGCTGCACCAGTCTGCATTCCCACTAGCAGTGCACGAGTGTTCCTTTTTCTCCACATCCTCTCCAGCACTTGTCGTTTGTTGATTTGTTGATGATAGCCAGTCTGACAGGTGTGAGATGGTACCTCATTGTTGTTTTGATTTGCATCTCTTGGATGATTAGTGACTTTGAGCATGTTTTCATATGTCTCATATGGCTTTCTGAATGTCCTCTTTTGAAAAGTGTCTATTTAGGTCCTTTGCCCATTTTTTATTGGATTGTTTATCTTCCTTTTGTTGAGTTGTATGAGTTCCCTATAAATTTTGGAGATTAAACCCTTATCGGTGATAACATTGGCAAATATGTTTTCTCACGCAGTGGGCTTTCTTGTTGTTTTGTTGATGGTTTCTTTTGCTGTGCAGAAGCTTTTTATTTTGATGTAGTCCCATTTGTTAATTTTCTCTACTTTCCAATGCCCTAGGAGCTGTATCGGTGAAGAAATTGCTTTGGCATATGTCTGAGATTTTGTTGCCTTTGGATTCTTCTAGTATTTTTATGGTTTCCTGTCATACATTTAAGTCCTTTATCCATTTTGAGTTTATTTTTGTGTATGGTGTAAGTTGGTGGTCTAGTTTCATTTTTTTTTGCATGTATCTGTCCAATTTTCCCAACACCATTTATTGAAGAGACTATCTTGACTCCATTGTATATTCTTGCCTCCTTTGTCAAATATTAATTGAGCATATTGGTTTGGGTCAATTTCTGGGCTCTGTATTCTATTCCATTGATCTATATGTCTGTTCTTGTGCCAGTACCAGGCAGTTTTGAGAACAGTGGCTTTGTAATACAGCTTGATATCTGGTATTGAGATCCCACCTACTTTGTTCTTTCTCAGGATCGCTGCAGCTATTCGGGGTCTTTTTTTATTCCAGATGAATTTTTGGAGAGTTCGTTCTAGGTCTGTGAAATATGCCTGGTATTTTAATGGGAAGTGTGTTGAATTTATAGATTGCTTTGGGTAGTATGGACATTTTAATATTGTTGATTCTACCAATCCAAGAACATGGTATGTTCTTCCATCAGTTTATGTTTTCCTCTATCTCTTTTTTCAACGTCCTGTAGTTTTCTGAGTAGAGGTCTTTCACCTCTTTAGTTAAGTTTATTCCTAGGTAGCTTAATTTTTTTGGTGCGATGGTAAATGGGATTGTTTTTTTAGTCTCTCTTTCTGTAAGTTCACTATTGGTGTATAGAAATGCCATAGATTTCTTGGCATTAATTTTGTATCCTGCTACTTTGCCAAATTCATTTATTAAGTCTAATAGTTTTTTGATGGAGTCTTTAGGGTTTTTTATGTATATTATCATGTCATCTGCAAATAAGGACAGTTTTACTTCCTTTTTTCCAATTTGGATGCCTTTTATTTCTTCTTCTTGTCTAATTGCAATGGCTAATACTTCCAGGACTATGTTGAACAGGAGTGGTGAGAGTGGGCATCCCTGTCTTGTTCCTGTTCTTAGGGGAAATGGTGTTAGTTTTTGTCCATTGAGTATGATGTTGACTGTGGGTTTGTCATATATGGCTTTTATTATGTTGAGGTATGATCCTTCTATTCCCACCTTCCTGAGAATTTTTATCAAAAATGGGTGTTGGATTTTGTCAAATGCTTTTTCTGCATCAACTGATATGACTATGTGGTTTTTTTCTTTCAGTTATAACTGTAATTTCTTAAACTGTAATTTTAATACAACAATCTAGTTTTAGAGATGGATGTCTTTGAATGAAGATGTGTTTGATTTAATTATGTCAATTGACCTTTTGCAAAAATATTTTGTTTCCCTTTAATTGCTTTGCTACCTTACAGTTATTATTATTATTTTGGAATAAGTGTGTGTCAAACTTTTTTTCTTTTGTTTTCCCAAATGGCATTCTTATCTTATTGAGTTTTAATTTTCAGTATTTTTAGTGGATTTGGGGGTGGGGGGAGTGGGCCGAGGAAGTGAGCCATAAATTTTAATTAATTGTGATGATTTTGAAACCCTTTACAATTATTAATTTAATACAATTAAAATATTAATTAATAATCTAGTTACATGTAGCTTTTCCAAGCCTAATCATGAATCTACTCTCCTGTTTTTTCACTTTAGTATGTCTGCTGAGCAGTAACTGTTACCTTGCATTGTTTGTCAGATAACTAATTAGCTAAACTCTCATTTTCCATTATATTAAGATTCAAGCATACCTGAAGTATTTCATTGCCTGAGATAATTTTCTTTTAATGGCATATGTACGTTCTTTCCTTTTCCAGGTCATCCTGTTCAGTTCTATAGCATGAACAGACCTGCCTCTCGCCATACTCCCCCAACAGTAGGGGGCTCGTTGCCCTATCGACGCCCTCCTTCCATCACCTCACAAACAAGCCTTCAGACTCAGATGAATGGAGGACCTTTCTATAGCCAGAATCCAGGTTAGATTTTCTTTTGCAAATTATAGAACATACCTGGTTAAAAATCTTCAATCACAGAGAGAATAAAACCCTTATTTACAAGCCATTAGCACATGCTAGGTGGTTAGTACTAGTTTTTTGAATAAATGGAGGAATGAATAAAAGGTTACTAATACTGTATTTTCCATTTCCTTTTTTTTAACTCAATAATGGTTTCCATGTAAAGTTGTAGAACTTAATTTTTTGAACAGAATCTTTTTGAATGTGCTAGTGATTATTTGCTTTTAAAAATAATAGTGCGGTAAACAATATTTTCTTCCTATTTAATCAGATATCCTTGCTCTATGAATAGCAGATAATGAAAATTGAGTGTACATGGACAGAGTTTATAAGTGGTGAAGTAAAAGGGACATTTTTGAATCTGCTTTGTGCAAGGGAGTTGTACTCTCTTATTCACTTCTCCTATCAAGCCTATGGAAAACGGACTTGGACAGATTGATTCAGATAGAGCAATCACCTTTCAGTTGCATGCATACAGAAAACGTAATCTCACATGTATTTAATAGTATATGTCATAATTTTTACTTCTTCTCCAGAGAGGGTAAGAGCACATCTTAGACTTTATGACTGTTGTGGACATGGTATGTCAGCCTACTATGTTCTTCTGGATTTTTGTCCAGAGGCCAGTCAGGCTCTAGCTCAGGGGTCCTCAAACTTTTTAAACAGGCGGCCAGTTCACCGTCCCTCAGACCGTTGGAGGGCCGGAGTCGGAGAGTGCGGCGCACATTCCACACATGCGCACTGCGGGCCCAGGACGAGTCTGCTGCTAAGCAACAGGCAGCAGCGGGTGTTGTCGGCAGGCCGCACGTGGCCCGTGGGCTGTGGTTTGAGGACCCCTGCTCTAGCTGGTGTGGCTCAGTGGATAGAGTGTTGGCCTGCGGACTGAAGGATCTCAGGTTCAATTCCGGTCAAGGGCATATGCCCGGGTTGCAGGCTTGATCCCCCAAGTAGGGGGTGTGCAGGAGGCAGCTGATCAGTGATTCTCTCTCATCATTGATGTTTCTCTCTCTCTCTCTCTATCTGTCTCTTTCCCTCTCACACCCCCCCTCTATGAAATCAATATATATATAAATAAAATGAGGCCAATCAGTTCATTCCATATTTGATAAACCCTGAATTTAAAATTATAGCCTAAATTTTATGGAGTGGAAATCTGTCTCCTATGGCTACTACCTTTTGGTGAAACTTTGTTGCATTTGGAGTCATGTAGAAGAAATATGCTCCCCCTTCATAAATGCAGTTTAAGTAATACTTTTATACTTATCATTTGATTCTTATAATTATGTGATCATTTTCATCTGTATTTTCACAGGTGAGGAAACTAAGATTGAAGTGATGATCAGGTTAGGATTTGAATTTAGGTTATCTGATTCCATGTTTTTTCTGTTTTAACTATGCTACCTACCTTTAGATTAAAAAACAATCCTTTGCCCGACCAGTGTTGCTCAGTGGTTGAGTGTTGACCTATGAACCACGAGGGCATGGTTAGAGTCCCGATCAAGCCAGATGCCTGGGTTGTAGGCTCCATCTTCAGGGTGGGGCATGCAGGAGGTAGCCAATCAATGATACTCTCTCATCATTGATGTTTCTATCTCTGTCCCTTCCTCTCTGAAATCAGTAAAATTAAAAAAAAACACAAAAAATCCTTCTCTTACCCTCTCATTGTGTTCTCTTTTGTCTGGAGGAAGATGTCCACCGTGTAAAGTGCATCAGAGCCTGAGTCCTTGCCATTCTTTTATACAGTTATTAGAGGCCCGATGCACGAAATTCATGCAAGAGTAGGCCTTCCTTCCCCTGCTGCCGGCACCAGCTTCCCTATGGCACCCAGGACCGGGCTTCCCTCGCAGCCCCAGCTTTGTCCGGAAGGCCATTGGTCTACTTAGCATATTACGCTTTTATTATTATAGACTAGAGGCCCGATGCAAGAAATTTGTGCAAGGGGCTCAGACCTTGCAGCTGCGGTGGCTTGCCTTGGCCCTTGCAGCCCCAGCTTCGTCTGGAAGGTTGTCCGGAAGGACGTTAGGCTGTCCAGTCTAATTAGCATATTAAGCTTTTATTATTATAGATATCCTGGGATAGTGCTCAGTAACTACTTGTTAAATGTAGAATGAGTCCCTTGTCCCTTTATTCGAATCTCTTTACTGGTTTGGGTTTCTCTTGTAGATTAAATACCAAATTTATAGACTAATTATAGTGTGCCCTGTAGTGTGATTGCCAACTGCCTTACTTGAAATATATTTATCTTATTGCTATCTTTGATCACGCTTACTGATTTTGGCTGCACCATTCTTTTTAACTCATCTTGAGCTTAATTTTGACAAATCTGCCTGTCCTTTCATCAATTCTCTTAAGTCATAGTGTCCCAAACCCATATTTGAATAGGAGATATTTTGTACCTCAGTGCATTTTTATTTTTAACTTGAAGTTTGTTAGATGTGGGTTATTTCATAGTTCTGAAGGTAAGCTCTCTCCCTGGCCCTCTGTACTGGGGCCAAGATGCTTCCCTGTTAGAGCTTGGGACCAACTGTGCACAATGCACAGAACGTATACTGTACGCAAGGGTATTCTGTGCTGTGCACATAATAGGGGAAGTTATTTGAAGGCTGTTTAAGCACATTTATACATGGTTTAAATTCTTATTTTAATACTTTTCTTTATAAGTCTGATTTTGATATACTTGAAAGAATATGTTAAAGTAGAAGAATACCTTACTCTATGGAATGATGTTAATGAAAGTATTGTTTATGCTCATGAAAGTACAGTGAGTTGAGATTATGAGCCTTCAGCGTAATGTGTGAGACAATTTAGTTGGCTGTTTTGTTCCTGTCCTCTGTGTTAATTTCTGCCTTTCTACTCCAGGATTTGGTAACGATTTACAGAGGGTAGCTACAGCTTTGCTAGCTGATTAATCAGTGCTTTTTCTAAACGAAAAAAAAAAAATGTTTTTCCTAAAACATGTTCTTTGAAAAACATTTTTTTGCAAGACTTAATATCTTGCAAACCAGTGTTGAAGGCTATTAGCTGCTCCTTTATTTAATTTGCTTTAGCGTGTCATTTAATCTCATGTATTCCTCCGCTGGTCTTACAGTGGTCCTTGTTTTTTCATATTTAAAATGAGAAAATTTGTTGTGATTTTTCAAGTAGCTAATAACCTGATTTAACAAAATGATCCCAGATATGTGTTATATGAGCTTTTTTGTGTGCATTTGGAGACTTGACATGAATGCATGCTTCTGAAGAAGTGAGCTGACAGTCTGGGATTCATGTGAATATTCACTGGGGTTTTCTATGAGATGTAACTCTAGCATCACTGTTACTACATTTGGCTTGCGTTTGGAAGGGATTATAACATAGGAATTAAAATCCAGAACACCCAGTGTCTGGAGTCTAGTCTTAGGAGCACAGTAATTTCTTTTCTAATGAGATTATTTCAGAAACAAGTTGATGAAAGTAACTTTCAGGGCCTAATTTAAACCCTTTGGTTCTCATTGTTTCTTAATCTAATCCAGCCAAAGAAATTGCAGCACCAATTTATCATTCATCTTGTCAGCATTAAGTAGGGTCATTGAAACAAATAGGACTAATCACAAGTTAACAGTTTTTACTTTACTTTAAATTTAAATATGAAGCACCTTGGTGTTAAAAAGGAATAAATATGTATACTTATTTGTATACATTTATTTATATAAACCTAGTTTGGTAAGTGCCTCAGGCGCCGTAACAGAGTCCAGAGACCAGGTGGCTTATAAACAAGAGAGACTGCCCACTGCCCTGGAAGCTGCGAGTCGGAGGTCAGGGCGCTAACATGGAGCTCTGTGAGAAGCCCTCCAGCTGCAGACTGTGGTCTTCATGTTGTGTCCTGCAGCCTTTCTTTTATGTGAGTCCTAATTCTGTTCGTCAGGGCTGCACCCATGACTTAATCTTATCTCCCAAAGGCCCCATCTCCAAATACCATTAGGAATTAGGATTTCAATGTATGAATTTTGAGGGAACATAAACATTCAGTCCACTCTCTCTGAAAATCAATGGAAAAAAATATCCTAAGAAAAGAAAAGTGCTAAACAGCCTACTTACAAAAAGACTGTTGTGAGTTAAGCACCTAATCATTCCTTTTTTGGAGTACCAGAAGGTCTTTTTTTGTTTGTTTTTCATTTGGAGGAGAGACAATGACTGAAGTGGGAAATGTCCTGCCTTCCTGTTACAGGGAGGTTGGGACGGGTGCTGACAGAAGAGGAACTTTTCACCTTATTTGATATGAACATTTATGTAATTGCACTTTCCTAATGCCAGTTGCTGTCTGCTGCTGTTTCTCAGTGTTATCTGCTGCCTTGTCTGTTCATTGATTCTCCTTCTTACCCCCGTTTGGGAAGCAGGGCAATGCGAACATACCCACAATTGTTTCAGAGGGGAGGAGACAGCATGCAGCTTAAGGATTACCAAGAAATACGACTTTAGGGAAAAACCTAACCAAAAGATATCTTTTAAAGAAAGGTATCGATTTCTAAGGTTCTACTACTCTGCCCCTTAAATCTAGATAGGCTTCATGATTATCTGCTTAACTCTTGTCTGCATAGTACATATGTTCTCCCTGCATTTACCCACAGCATGTCATCTTTCTACTGAGCTCTCCTAGCTCTTTACCTCTCAATTTTTCTCACATACTTAACCCAAGCTTTCCAGTTGCCTCCCAGATCTATGCCCACATCACTTTCATGCATCCTAGTTATCACATCTCTCCCTGACCTGCTTCCTCACCAGCCCTTTCCCTGTACTACCTGCCAAGGTTAATGTGGTTAAATGGCACCTCCACCTTCATAGTTATGAAAACTAAAAAAATCTAAGAATCATCTTTAGCTGTTGTCTTTAGCTGTTGATCTCCTTCATGTACTAGCCAATCCTTGTACGTATTCTTCCTCCACACTGTGTTACTAAGTTCTCTCCTATTTTTTTTTTTTTTTTTTTTTTTTGGTGCCAGGCTTTCTGCATACATTTTTTGTTTTGGAAATTTTACTTGCAACCACTCTGTAAAGTAGGTTGCGTTACCTATCTTTTAAAATATCACATTTATGGAATAGGCACAAAGAAGCTAATTAACTCACTGTTCCAACATCAAGGAAATGGTGAATCAGGTTAACAGATGTTGGGTGACATTAAAGTCCAGTCTCTTTCCACTGAGAAGTTTTTCACCTAACGTACAAGGTCTCTCACTGTAACATCGGGTGGATGTTAAAGTTCTCTTTCTGTGCTTCCTGCTTCTCTATGGGGTAACTTATGCTAGCTGTGCGGAACAGCTCCGGGCCCGCGAGCTGCTCACCTCTAAGCCTCTGTCCTCACCTGGTTCTCAGCTTGTCTTTCTCAGCTCTTGTCTGCTTGTCAGTCCAGCTTCATTTCCTCAAGTCACATCTAGTCTTCCTCCCTGCTACCCCTCCACTAACACTACCACGTCTCACCAACCATCACCACCTGCAGGAAATTGCTACAAGTAATTGTTGGGTTAACATTGCTATTTTGTTTATATGCCCAGTTAGAATGTGATCTCTTTGAGGGTGGTAACTATTCATTTTTTAAGTTTTATTAGTCTTAACTGTAGTTTGGAGTTATTAAAGATATTCTCTCTTCATAAGAAGATGCTTGCCATACTTTATACCCATTCTGAAGGAAACTATAACTGTAGAGTTAATCCTGGGAAATTGTTGGGCACATACCTGGCTTATCTGTGTGTTTACATATGTGAGACATTTGTTGCAGGCTTACTAGTGCTAGACACTGTACCAGGTGTTCGAGATAAGGAAAAGGCACCGAGAGGAGAGGAGAATGACTGGAATGAGGCCAACACTTTTCTGCAGGGTCAGGGAGAAAAATGTACCTGCTTGAGCAGGTGGTATGAATTGGGACTATGAAAAATTTTAATGACACAGACCTGACTCTCAGAGAATGGTTTTGGTATTGGTCTCTTAGTGGAGTGCTTGCCACTTAGTAGGAAGTCAGTAAATATTCATTTAATTAATGAGTAAAGAACTAATTTATTTGCCTGTTAATGTAATGAAATATAACTTTAGAATGTTGGTATATAATGGGTTTTTCCCTTCTACTGACAAATAGTTAAATTTGTAACCATCAAGGTAATTTCCAGAAACCCAAATTATTCATTGTAGTCTGAAGAAATCCTTTTATTTGAGAAGCCTGTTATTGGTATGAAGAGCTCAGTTTGCCGTTACATGTTAGAGCAGGCCCGTGTGGATGAATGACTGCTTCCTGTTGTAATCCTAATACTTGGTTTTGTGTGCTGACGAATTGTCCCTCCAAAGAGGACCCTTAGTGTATCTGATAACATGTTCGTGCATAGTGGTTTCCCTCCTTACATGTTCGTTTTATTGTATTATCCTTTTCTTTTAATGTAACTCGCCCTTACCCCTTATCCTCCGCACCTTTTTTGTTTTTACAGTATCTCTTGCTCCTCCTCCTCCCTCCATCCTACAGGTAACTCCTCAGTTACCTTTAATGGGATTTGTGGCCAGAGTCCAAGAAAATAGTAAGTTTATGTCTTCTTTATGCTGTAGATCAGATTGTAGGCATAAAATGTCATTTATGTATGATTGGCTAAGTATTCATTTGCTGATACCTCAAGTATTTGAATATTATGAATAAGTCACTATATGAGCAGCTAGTAGGATGATAAAATAATTAAGATGAAATTCTCTACTTTCAAATAACTTAAAATCTGGTAGTGAAAAAAAAATTTAAATAAGGCACATGTAAGAAAAGAAAGATCACATCTGAGATGTTCTTTAATCACTAGCTAGCCCATTTTTTCTCCTCTGGGATGCTCAAACAAGTAGCCTAGTGTTTTATCACTGGAATTTAGGGTTTTGTGGCTGGCCTGAGAATTTTCCTTTGGTCCTGTGATTTCAGGTGTAAAAATGGCCAGGCCATGGTAGGTCTCAGGGGACCAAATTGCCTCTCTATTTCCTAAGAGGCCTCATAGATCGGCAATGAATTACCATTGGCCTGTGGTCTGGTGTTGAGTTATGCAGGATCACGTAACTAATTTTATTGACAAATTGAGTCTTCTCCGAGGGAAGTATTAGGGAATCTCAGGAGACTGATATCTGCAAAGCAGGAGGCCTGTATCAACATTCAGTGATGAATTGTACAGAGATCAGTGAACGTAGTCTGACTGGGTGATGACTCCTCTGCAAGCAGTCTGCCTGAGGAATTATATTGTCATCAGAAGATGCTTGGTGGGCATGGAATCTGAACAAGGGAAATGGCATTAAAGGAAGACTTAGTGTTGTCAGGCTGAAGTAGCCCATTGGCATCTAGTAACAGGGATGGCCTCACCAATGGGACAGAAGACGTGCACGCTGTTGCTTAGGACTCTTGCTCCTTCGGACGTGGGCATTGCCAGGGATAGAATGTAAGCGCTGTGAGAGCAGGGACTTCCGCTTGTTTTGTTCATGGGCTGTTTGCCCAGCATTTAGGAAAGCATCTGACACATAGCAAACACTTTTAGTCCCTCCTTTTTTGTGCTTCCCTAGTGAATTAAAGCCCCGTTTTTATTGACACATTTCTTCTTGTATTTTAACTGATGATAATCCAGTTTTACTAGCGTGAGGGCTCAATCTCTCTTCCAGGTGCCTTTGCACCTCTACTTGCTAGTTTCTGAAAATAGCTTATATTACTTGAGTGTATTGGAGGGTATTCCATGACACCTGCAGTGTTTACCACAATGTGATTGCCTCTGGGTTATCTTTTCTAATTTCTTTCCATAGTCATAAACATTTCTCACCTACAAAATGTATAAAAATAAGAAACTTTCTGTGTGAGGTGTGCTGTGGTTGATTTAAAGACATAGTTGGACTTATACATTCAAATGAATGTTGTCCTCTTCAAAACATTCACCTTGGAAAGATACATACCTATCTTTTGGGATTATCGTCATAGCTTTCAAATACATTATTTTGAAGTCACTCTGTATTAAGATTGATGTTTGAAAGAAGTTTGGAATTATTTGGAACCAGTTCTGTGCTAAGTATTGTAGCAATGATCCCGTTATTCTTCTTAAAACCCTTCCATGGCTCCCCCTTGCTCTTTGGATAAAGTTCAAACTGTTGCAAGGCCCTTCCTGCTTAGTCCTCTTTAGCTTCCTCAAGCCTCTTTCTGCCGAACCTTGGTCAGTTCCTTGCTTTCTTACCTTTGCATTTGTTTTTTCCTTTACATCTGACACGAAATATCCACCCCCACTCCATTCCACCCCCTAGACATTAACTCTTACTCATTCTTTCAGGTTTCAGAAACCCATGTAAGAGGGTTAGTCTACTGCTGTATTTTCCATAACGACTTAAAGCACTTACTGCACTTAATTATAAACAGAAGTTTGGCTGTCCATGTCTCCAAGACTTTTGCTCACTGCTCTATTCCCAGTGCTGAGTGTAGTAAGTACCTAACCATAGTGGCTTTCAGTTGATGTTTGTTGAGGGAAAAATAATGAAACTTTACCTTACAGTTAGTGTGTTTATCTTATCCCATAGTATTGTAAGCTTTTAAGATAATAAACATTGGCGTTCCAATTTCTGCTCTTCCACTTAATTCTGTAGGCATGAAAGCCAGTTTTCACATTCATAAATTGGCCCTCGGGGGTTATTAGAAAAGGTAAAAATGAGCAGTGGCAGCATTTTTGAGTAATTTGGTAATTAATTTCTCAAGGTGATTGTTTTGAAAGACAGAGTTCATTTGGATGTATGTTTTTGTGGAATTGTTTAAATGCAAACAGGATATATTGTTGATTCTTACCCCAACTACATATAATTTGTCATAAACTTTATGTTAAAATCACATACTTATATGTTTTGTTTATTAAAAAAACACATTAGGACTAAAAGAAACACTTGTAATGGGTAAAGTTTTAAAGTTCATAAAGTAGATGGGTTAATAAGGAGAGTGGCTCAGCAGATGGGAAGAATACTGGGATAGGGCAGAGTATGAAGTTGATAATCCTCACCAGGCCAGCAATCTTGTAAAATCCATTTGATTCCATCAGTAGGTTTAGAGAAAAAAATAGAAAATAAACAGATTGCTCAGAGAATTTCACAGAAACAATACTGGTACTTCATAAATAAGACTTTGTGCTGTTCATTAAAATGGGACAACTGATCAATGCAACGTTCTTTATTTGTTTTATTCTGTTGAGCTGTGCTCGTGTATATCAAGCATTTTAAAAGCTTTGAGTTCCTGAGTTTGGAGATAATATTTTAAACATTACTATATGTTGACACCTGAGCTGTGGAAGCAGATCTCAATAAAGAGATATTTAAAATATTTTAAATCACTCATATATTTACCTTGGAGAAATTCTGAAATAACCAAACTAAACACAAACATCTGCATGGATGAAGTTACCCAAAATTGTTTGTGATTTCTGTCCTGCTGATTTGGTAAGGTGCTATATTTAAGAAATTCATTGAGAGAAAGTAGCAGATTATTAAAATTTGACTTTTCATTGGAGTCATTCTAATTTTTATAAACTAAATATGGTTATAAGTATCCAAATTATTAATATTTCTGATAACCACTTCTTGGATAGTATATAAAGCCAAACTATATTATATTAGCATAAAAAGGTTCCAAGGCTCAGTTAATTATTTTGGCTAAACTTTATTTAGCATCCATACACACTAACCCATGGGAAGGAGAAAGCCATGCTTGGAGATTGGAAACATTATAGTTGGTGGAGGAATTCTCTTGCCCACTCATTTTTTTAAAGGTTATTTTCAAGTGTAGGTTTATAGTTCATGAACATAGAAGCTTAGCTTAGATAAGAAATACAGAACTTTGCATTAGGTGTAGTTTGTTATCAGCTTGGTACCTTCTTAGTTTCAGACACACCACCCCCACCACCACCTGCGGAAGAGCCAGTCTTTGACGAATCCCCCCCTCCACCCCCTCCTCCAGAAGACTACGAAGAGGAGGAGGCCGCCGTGGTGGAGTACAGTGACCCATACGCTGAGGAGGACCCGCCCTGGGCTCCAAGGTCTTATTTGGAAAAGGGTAAGTTTCCGAGGGCTGTCTGGAGGGATGGGAAGAAATCTGCACATAGGAATGACATTCACTGGTACTAAAGAGAATTTTTTGTTTTACTGATGAGAAAAGTTTCGCTTATATTACGTGTATATTCTTACTTAGTTTACAGGTTTTATGGTTTTGAAAGCATGCAAGTAAAATTCTGTGACTGTTTGATTTTTTATTGATAGTTAACAGATTTTTCCTGTTGAGCATGCGCTTTACGAATGGTTTCTGTGAGATAAAAGTAAAAAAAAAAAAGGATTTTTCTGGAATGCCTCAGGAAGAGGAGGATTTCTTCAAATTATTAGTTGTTTCTGCCCCCGTGGTTTATAAAGCTTTCTTTTGTGGCATCTTTTATCAGATATTTCAGTTTAAGTATCTCCATATGAAACTTCCTTCCAAAGAAGAATGGTTTCTTCGTTTCTTTACAAAGTAGTATTGGGCATTTCTTTCATTGAAAGTTTCTCTGAATATACTAGCAAGCCATGCCATGGTGTTTTTGGGACACAGACTTCCAAATCTTATCAGCACTAATCAGCTCAGGAAAAAGGGTGCTGTCGGGCAGGAAGTTTTAAGGAAATTAAAGCTACTCACTGATTTCAAAACTGACCCCACATTTAGAATCACCTGGGGAACTTATATTAAGAAATGGTAGACTTGCACTTCTGGTCAAAATAGAGCAACAGTAATTCGATTTACCCTCTCCCCTAAAACAGGAACCCAGAAAAAATTAAGGTAATGGTTGTGAATCAGTAGACAGGGTGGGCAAACTTTTTGACTCGAGGGCCACAATGGGTTCTTAAACTGGACCGGAGGGCCGGAACAAAAGCATGGATGGAGTATTTGTATGAACTAATATAAATTCAAAGTAAACATCATTACATAAAAGGGTACGGTCTTTTTTTTCAATAGTTTTTTTCATTTCAAACGGGCTGGATCCGGCGCGGGCGCCGTAGTTTGCCCACGGCTGCACTAGGCAGTGGTGGACTCTGACCGCAGAGAGAAGGAGCTCAAGGTGAGCCTGAGGCCCTGGCTTGCTACCTAGAGGCAGTTTCCAGGCCGTAGTGCAAGGAGGATGTAACCAAACCGAGTGTGGGCGTTGACTTGTGTAGAGAAGGTAGAGATGAGAATTTTTGGAGGCCACAGAGGACAGAGCTCAGGAGACTTCCGGAAGGTCCCGTTGAGTCTAACTGAGCACTGATTTGTACATGTGTGTGAAGAAACGACCTGATATATTGAAAGAACAAAACCAGAAAGGACTAGGCAGAAAAATTACTGCACATGACACAGGCCTGGAAATAGTTCATGTTCTCAAACCCATCAGAATAGAAAGACGTGTAATACACAGGCTTAGAGAAGAGGCCTCAAAAGTGTGTCCCCTTAGTAATGGGGGCAGATTAGCCCTAGACGGGAGTGGCTGTGGACCACCCTCACAGAGCTTACCGCAGGCCTTTGAAAGATCCAGCTGATTCCAAGTAACTTAACTGAGCTCCAGGACAAAATTCAATAGTGTTCAACAAAAGTCAGGATTACAGTGTCCAACGGCTATTCAATTGCAAGCCATGTAAAAAAGCAGGAAAATATGTAAGTTATAACTAAAAGAAAAGACAGTTAATGGAAATAGACCAGAAATGACCAAGATAATAGGATTACCTGATAAGGGTGTAATATAGCTATTATAAATGCCACATATGTTCAAGAAGATAAAGGAAAACATGAACATAAGAGAAAACGAATGCATTTTTAAAGAAGAAAAACTCACTTTTTTGAAGATAAAAAATACAGTATCCGAAGTGACACTTCAGAAAAAAAGATCAGCAACCTTGGCGGTATGACAATACAAACTATTCAAAATGAGGCATGAGAAAAGAACAAATACTAAACACAGTAATAGATATGTGAGATAATATCAAAGAGTCTTTTTTTGCAGAAGATCTCATTTAGGAAATCCTAAGCAATCTACAAAAAGCTGGTAGAACTAAAGAGGTTGCAAGGTCAATGTATAAAATTAATTGCATTTTTATTCGTCAGCAACAAATAGTTGGAGATTGAAATTTATAAAACTTTTGTAATAACATATTAAATACTTAGGGATAAATTGAATGAAATATATGAAAGATTTGCATGATGAAAACTAAAACATTAAGAGAAATTAATAAGTCTTAAAAAAATTTGAGAACTGGATGATGCTCTTTGATCATTATTGTTGAGACTGGTTTTCCCCAAAATGGTATACCAATAAAAATCCAGAAGTCTTATAGAAATTGACAAGCCGATTCTAAAAGTTATATGGAAATGCAAATGACCTAGTATAGTCAAAACAATCTGAAAAGAAGTCTAATGTTGGAGGAATTACACTACCCGACTTCAGAGTTCTAGTGGAAAGCTGCAGTGTTCAAGACTGGTGCTGGTGTAAGACTAGGAATAGAAATCAATAGACTAGAATATATAGAACCCAAATAATTCGGTGAGGAAAGGATAGTGTTTTCAACAAATAATGTTGAACAATTGGATATCCATATGCAAAACATGAACTTCCACCCTTACCTCACAATACACATAAGTTACTTTGAAATGTATTTTGGATCTGAATGTAAAACCTAAACTATAAAAATTCTGGGAGAAAATGTAGGAGAAAAAACTTTATGTTCTGGGGTCAGGAAAAAGTCTTGTGGAGACTACATAAAAATACATGAAACTTAAACAGAAAAGAATTGATAAATTGAATTTCATTAATTAAACTTTTCTTCAAAGACACTGTGAAGAAATGACAAGGCAATCCATATTAGCCTGGGAAAAATATTTGCAAAATAATTCACTAAGGTGACAACTGGTAGGGAAAAAAATTTGAACACATTTTACCAAACAGACACATGAATTGCAAATAAGCACATGAAAAGATGCTCAGTATTAAAATACGCTTTTTATTGATTTCAGAGAGAGCAAGAGAGAGGGGGAGAGAGAGATAGAAACATCACTGCTAAGAATCATTGATTGGCTGCCTCCTGCACACCCCCTACTGGGGATTGAGCCTGAAACTTGGGCATCTGCCCTGGCCTGGAATTGAACCCTGACCTCATGGTTCATAGGTCGACTCTCAGCCACTGAGCCACACTGGCCAGGCAAGATGCTCAGTGTTAGTTCTGAGGGAAATGCAAGTTAAAGCCACTGTGAGCCAAACTCAGTACCACTACACACCCCTTAGAATGGCTACAATTAAAAACGCTGACAACACCAAGTGGGAGAGAGAGCGGTGCAATGGGAGCTCTTACACATGGTTGGTAAGAATGCACCATGTCTCAGTCACTTTGGAAAATAGTTGGCAGTTTCTTATGAGGCCGGACATACACCTACCAGCTGATCTGGCCTCCTTCCTGTAGTGGTTACTTACGAGGAGTGACGATTGTGTTCACACACAGACTTGAATGTTCATAGTTGCCAAAACCTGGAAACAACCCAAATGTTTTTAAACTGGTGAATAAATTGTGGGATATATCCATCTATTCAATGAAATACTGTTCAGTGAAAAGGAACTCCTGTTATAAGCAACAATGTGGACGGGTTTCAAGTGTTACCCTAATGAAAAAGGCCAAAAAGACTCTTACTTTATGACTCCATCTACATGAAATCTAGATCAGTGGCTTTCAGGGACCGGTGCTGGTGGATGAAGGAATTCACACCGGGGCATAAGGAAATTGAGGGGTGATGGGCTTGTTGTATCTGATGATTGTGGTCGTCGTTATACATTTATCATATATACAGGTGCATACATTTGTGAAAACTCATTGAATTCTGCAATTAAATGCGTGTGTTTTGTATCTAAATTAATACCTCAGTAAAGCTGTTTTTTAAGGGGGGAGAAAAGAGCCCAAGGTACTAAACTAGGCTGTGGCCTTAGGCATTGACATGTTTTACAGATTCCTTAGCTGATTTTAACACTGTCCTAGACAAAGTGATACCATTCCAGCCGTGGAAAACTATCTCAGTTATTCCTTAAGAGAAGAGCGCGATGAAGTTTTGCTTTCTAAAAATTGACTCTTTAGTGAACATGTTGTAAAAATCTGGAGAGATTTGTGAGAAGAAAGTAAGTTTGTTTTGAGTCTAAGGAACCCTGTAAAGTTGTAAAGAACATGCCTGAATTGTTCCCTAAACTGTTTTTAAAAGTTTGGCTTATTTCTGTTAAGTTCAAATCTTTCAAAACATGAAAACCAAATAAGCTCTTCCTTACTCTTTCTGGCAAAACAAAAACATAACCAACCGTGTTCAGCTTATGATGGCTCTTTTGCTTGTGAGTGTGAATGTTAAGGTGTTGCCTACTGACTCGTTTTGCTATCTTAGACCGTAGGACCCGGTCTTAACCCTGCCTGCACATGTGAGTCACCGAGTGCGTGTTTAATACGTCTGCCCCTCCAGGCCTATTAAGTCAGAATCGGTGGGACTGTGTCAGAATTTTTAGAAATTCCTCAGGTAATTCCAGGGTTGAGAGCCACAGCCATAGGAGGCTTATTGTAACCCTTGATTACTGCCCGTCATGTGCCTGGCATAATGTAAGACTTAACCACACATGTAAGATAGTTTCCCCATCTTGCAGACTAGAAAATGATGTTAAAAGGTAATTTGTTATAGAATATAACAGAAAATCTTAGTGCCAGAGAAAAGACAGTATATCTTAATAGTTACTAATGATAATAAAAGCTAACGTTTCTATGGCTGTTTCACATACACAGTTTCCGGGCTGGGTGTTGTATGTGCATTGCCTCATTAATAGAACAGTGCTTCGAGGTGTTAGCACTACGCTAGTTTCCATTATACAGGTGAGGAAAAAGGAGTTTAGGGACGTTCATGTGTTCTGTGAGCTAATAACTGGTAGAGCTGGCATTTGACCTCCGTGGTATAACTGCAGAGCGCACATTCTTAGCCTTTCCTAAGTGGGGGCTTTGGCAGACCTGGGATTGATTGAGTCTTGGCTCTACAGTTCACTAGCATTAAATTCTTCTGTCCCTTCCAAGCCATCTGTTCTTGTAGTCCTCCAGCTCAGTGATATAACTTCTTGGTAGAAGTATCAACAATGTATGGTCATTTATCAGATTACATTTCTGTCCTCATAAGACTATGACCGTTTGTCTTGTTCATCTTCCTATCTCTAAAAATCAGCATGAATGCTCCATTAACGATTGTCAGAAAATGAAGAGTTCCATTCATTCTGTCTGGGGATCCCAGGAAGCTTGTCAGAGGACCTGGCATTTGTGATGTGCCCTGAATATGAAGATTTTCTCAGGCAGAGAGGGGAGCGAGCAAGGGCCTCCGGGCCGAGGGGTCTTAAGTGAAGGCATGGCTGTTTAGCATGGTGAGCGGTGCCATGTGCAAGAGGACGTGGGTGGGTGTAGGGAGAGAGGGCCTGGGGTGTGCGTGTAGGAAGTTGTAATTGGGAAGGAAGTCCTCGAGTACCATGCTGAGATGTTTGAATCTTTTTCCTTTTTTAAAAAATCTGATAGAAAATTGTGGAAGATTTTTACGCAGGTTAATGATAAGTTCCCATGTATTATATCCTAACTTAAAAACAATTACCTGATGACAGTGTAGAGTACATTAGAAAGGAAAGCAGGGCCCTGGCCGGTGTGGCTCAGTTGGTTGGAGCTTCGTCCTGTACACCAGAAGGTTGTGGGCTTGATGCCCAGTTGGGACATGTGCGAGAGGCAACTGATCAATGTTTCTTGCTCACATCGATGTTTCTTTCTCTTTTTTACTCCCTTCCTCTCTCTAAGATCAATTAAAATTTTTTAAATAAAAGAAAAGAAGCAAGTAGGAGTTGGAAGACCAAGTTGGATACCTTTCTAAGGAAGAGCTGAGGACCTTAGCTACAGCAGTATGCTGAAAACCTTGTTCCCATTCATAAGTGATACAAACGGAAGCATTTTCTCATGTGGCACTGTCACTCAATTCTTTTACCTCTTTCTGAGTTACTTGCCAAAAGTAAAATAATGTTCCATCTTTAAACATGCTTTACATGTCAGCTGATGACTCGAACGACCCTTTCACAGGGGTCGCCTAAAACCATCGGAAAACACACATATAACTACATATTGTTTTTGTGATTAATCACTATGCTTTAATTATGTCCAATTTGTAACAATGAAATTGGGGGTCACCACAACATGAGGAACTGTAGTAAAGGGTCGCGGCATTAGGAAGGTTGAGAACCGCTGGTCTAAAGGAATGGAGCCACCTAACTTTCACTTGCAAAAAGTTGGGTTATTCAGTGGAGTAATTCTTTTTCAATATCACACGAAGATTTTGAGTTGTTTCTTTGACACCCAGAAGTCTTTTATACTTTAAAACAGTACACTGTACTAACAAGTAGGAGAATGATAGAGAGGAAATGAGAACTTTTGTGACTGATGCCTGGCTGAGGTATCATCCCAGGTCAGTTTTGGAAGCAATATTTATAAAACTTGGGACTCTAGAAGGAGTTTCCCCTAATCGTCTGACACTCATACTGCATGGAAAGTCTTCCGGTCCCCCTGGGTTAGGTATATTCCATAAGAAGACAGCTGCTGACGGACGGGCAGCGAGCGTGACGCTGGAGATGATGCAGGTGTTGGTTTTGAGCTTTAGGAGGTGGAATTAGCAGGACTTAGGGACAGTCTCATTTGAATTATTTTTTCATTGGGTTTGCATTTTGGTAAGCATCGAGTGTTAACTAAGAGTGATAAAGATTAGGTTGACAGAAATAGTAAAGACTTTACATATCTTGTTTTCTTTTACTTTTATAGTTAAACTTTTTTATCATTTAATATATATTTGTGTTTAGGGGGTTGGTTATGTTTTGAGAAATACACACTAATTTCCTCCTAGGCCTCTGAAGTATTTTCTGACATTTAACAGATCACTCTAATGGCAAAAACTCAGAGTTTAACAAAGCCATTTAGTTCTAAAGTAGGCCAGACACACAAATGAACTGGGGCAAGTTGCACTATATCATAAACTCCTATTGTAGTTTGTTTCTTATTTGAGGTTTAAAGTTACATGAGAAACAAAGTCAGTATATGCTTCTCAGAATGATGGGTAGATGGAGATTGTTGTTGAGTGAAATTCTGAGTGATCTAAAACGATACAGAGGATCTCTTTACAGAAAAGAGAAATCTGTCAGTCCAGCATAGCTCAGTGGTTGAGCATCAACCTGTGAACCAGGAGGTCATGGTTCAATTCCCAGGCAAGGCACGTGCCTGGATTACAGGCTCCATCCCCACTGGGGGGTGTGCAGGAGGCAGCCAGAGAATGATTCACTCTCCATCACTGATGATTCTATCTCTCTGTTTCTCCCTTTCTCTCTGAAATAAGAAACAATACATTTTTTTAAAAAGGTAAATCTTCAAGTGGATTTGAGCACTAGGCTCTCCCAGTTTAAATAAACTGTTGAGGTAGATGCAACAGGAGCCTGAGGCTGTCCCAGATAACACCTAAAGGCCCCAGTTACCAAATTATTTAACCAAGAAAAGTTTCAGGAGAGCTTACAGGTACCTTGGTTTCCATGACACTTTGAGTGTGTTATGGGGATGTGTTAAATTGGTGGCATAATACCCCATGTGTTTGGAAAGAGTACATATATAACGGACCCCCAGCATTCGCACATAGAACCTGTGGGAACTCAACCACTATTGTACTCAGTGACTGGGCGTGGACTCCCGTATCCCTTTCGTTCATCTCATCGTCTCACTTGCCTCTCACGGTGTGCCTCACTGCACTAGATAATTCTAATGTTGAAAGACGTGTTTTGACACAAGCTCAAGTGAATAGTCATCTTTCCCGATTCTGGGATTGTCGCACCTCAGTGAGGTATTTCTCCATCGGCTGCTGAAAGGTAACTTCACTGATTTTTTTTTTTTTTTTTTTTTTTGCCATTTAAACTGCTTGGAGCCTACCCTCCCCAAGAAGATGGGATCCCGTTACACAGGACTGGGTATCAGGAAAAGAAGGGGTTTTGGTCTGTGTTTAGAAAGTCACTGTTTGAAGTGCTGTAAAAGTTGGGAAAGGATGGATATTCATTTGTTTGGTTCTATCTTTGTAGGAATATTACTTTTCACATCCTGTTTTTCCCCCTCTAGTTGTGGCAATTTATGATTATACAAAAGACAAGGAAGACGAGCTGTCTTTTCAGGAAGGAGCCATCATTTATGTCATCAAGAAGAACGACGATGGCTGGTATGAGGGAGTTATGAATGGAGTGACGGGGCTCTTCCCGGGGAATTACGTCGAGTCCATCATGCATTATTCTGAGTGAAGCTCTGCCGCCGTTTCCCTCCCAGGAATAGGCAGGACTTCCCAGACCATCCCAAGGCCCTGGCCTTCCCCTCAGTGAAGTGAATGAAGGATACAAATGATAAAAACTACGTATGTGTTGTTGTTTTCAGTTTATCCCCCGGTATTAAAGCAAAAAGCAAACCTAATTGTGAACAAATGGATCTTTCTGTCATCATTTGTACTATGCTGATCTGTCTGGATTGAAATAAAGTGACCATTTCTGAATATGTCGAGGAATAACAGCTTAACTGTAAAACAAATCAGGTTAAGACTGATTCAGAGCAAAATCTGGGATCTTTCTCAGGAATACTGCACACCATGGGATATCTTCTGCAGAACCTGTGGCACTGGCTATTCTTCAGTGCCTGTGCCAAAGGGTTAGCCTGTGGCCTACTGCGTACCCCACTTTCTTCCACCTGTATGAGGAGGGAACCGATGTTTGAATACCATACTGAACCATTTTTAGTTGTTTCCGAGGGCTCATTTCCTGTCACAGGTAAATTCTGCACTCTCTCAGTACTTGCGCGTGCCAGAGTGAATGCTGAACTGACTTGCATCCCTCATGTTTCTGTTTGTAGATGATGATGAAATGAGTCTCCCAACATTCTGAGGGTGGTTGGCAATGGCCAGTGTGACTTGAATGTGCTGCTGCTGCATGAGACTGCGTTGCACGAAGGGCCAGCACACCAGGTGTGTGACGCTGGCCGCGAAGGCGCTTAAGGTCCTGAAAAGATTGGACTGTAGAAACTGCTGCCCAACAGGCATCCTAAGGCTTTGCCTTAGGCACTGGTGTGAGGAGCAGGATTTTGGAAGTTAGACCAGCTGTTTACTTTCACTATTGAGTAAAACATTCTTTTTGGGGAAAATAGCAGTTATTTTCAAATTTCTTGATAGTCTCTGGGAATAAAAGGCTTGCTGCTGTAATCTTGGTGACACTAGTGGCCAGTGTTAGCTGCTGCTGAGTTGTTGACTCACTTGACTTTAGAAAAGGGAAATACTCGCTTGGTTTTGTGGTTGGTCTTGGAAGTAGCTTCCTTTGGTAAGAATTTGAACTTGTATCGCAGACTAAGAATAGTGGGGTAAGGCCAAATATTTATCCAATTACATAGATTAAAAACTGATAGGATTTTGCAATACAGCACTTTTTTTTTATCTGCCCAATTATAGCTTCAAGTTCAGTGGAGTCGGTAAGTCAGATGGCTTCAATCATTTCTGTAATCAGTATAAGAAATGTTTTAAAAACCCAGGAGGGCTTTGCTGCTCAGCACGTGAAACTCTGGGATGAAGCAGCTCATGGTCAGGCCCACGCTGTGATGGGCTCTTCCCAGTCCCAGTGACTTGGCCAGAGAGAGCTTTGCCCGGCGACTTCCCTGTGCGGGGCTCAAAGGGGAGAGGTAATAGCTGCATATACAGTTGACCCTTGAGCAACATCAACACGGGCTTGAACTGCACAGGTCCGCTTACACGTGGATTTTTTCAAGAAATATACAGTCGTCCCTCCGTATCCCTGGATTTTGCATCTGCATTTTCAACCAGTTATGAATGAAAGCAGTATTTTCAATCTGCAGCTGGGAACCAGAGATGTGGAGAACCAGCTGTGTGCATTGTTTTGTCATTTTGTATAAGGGACTGCGACATCCAAGGATTTTGGGGTGTGTGTGCGTGTGTGTGCGTGTGTGTGTGTCTGTCCTGGAACCAGTCCCCCTCAATAAAGATGGCTGACTGTAGTAGAGTTGTGGGGAGTCAAGTTATAGGTGGATTTTCAATGGCCTGGGTCTCAGGGTCCCTAACTCCTGTGCTGTTCAAGGGTCAACTGTGCTTCCCATGTAAGCCTGGAACATGAACTAGTGCAGAGAGAGGACTTAACTGAAAATGGACGTGGTGTAGCGTGCGAGGGAATTCAGATGGTGCAGGCAGAACATTCCAGTCGTGAGTCTGTCAGCACAGAACTTCACCATTTTACTGAGACCCAGATACACAGGTCCCTTGTCAAGACTTTTTGTTGTAAAGTTGAAGGCCCCCCCCCCCACACATACATTGCAAGTCAGCTATTTTGCCTTTAGCTCTTTAACACTTTGAATTTGGCTTTGCCTCCATGTTTTCGTGAGGTCATCCCAACATCCGTTATCCTGTTTTCCTTTGAAGTAATGGCCTTGAGTGTCCTCCGCGCTGTCGGCTTCGTTATGAACCCACCTATACTACCCTGGGACAGATTACGCTCTTCTTGGTGTTGGTGTGTAACTCGGAAAATCTTTAAAATTAGATGTTCCAGTTATTTATTTAAATACCTTTTTGCTGAGAAAGCTTAGTGGATTTAATAAGAAGGAATTTTGAAATCCAGCAAATAGTTCCATACCTCACACCGATGGCAGACAACTGTGCAACCAGAGTTGGTGGCGGCTGCTTGCCTGTTGGACTGAGGCGAGCAGAAGATGCTGGTGGTGATGGCCGGCAGCAGGGGATCCACGGGTCAGCTGACTTTTTCCTATATTATTTAATACTAATGTGTGATTTTAAAAAACTTTTGATTTTCTGCATACTTTAAATTTTTGTACAGTTTGCTTTCCATATATTGTCTTGGAAGGATACTATGTAACGATGGGCCAGGCCTACAGTAATGGGAGACTTTTAATGTATGTGATATTTTATAGGTTGCATGCTATTAATAGTCTGTGATGGTAGTATTTCTTGTTTTATTGTCAGTTTCCCCATTTATCTTTTTATAAATGAGATGAGATAGTGGGCAGTAGGAATTCCAAATGAATGTAGAAATCTCACATGCTACATAATATTGTGGCAAAGGGGATCCAAGTCTAAATCTGCTGACAAGCAAGCAACATTATCAGGATAGAATCTAATGGGAGAGGGAATTTTTTTTCCTTTTTGACTTGCTGTCCATTTCCTGTTTTCTTAAAAAAAAAAAAAAAGGAACAACTTTTAAGTCACTGCTTTTAATTAACTTATTTTTTGGTACGGTTGTTTGAAAGGCCATGGTGGTATGAATCAAAATACTTTTGTCACTGACCTAATGGCCAAGGCAGTAAATCAGAAACAAAAAGTATCAACGTGTCAAGATCTAGACCTAAGAGATTCCGCCTGCTGTGTTAAAATAAATAGGGATCTTTTCTTCAGTATTTCCATCTTTTGGCTATTTGCTGTCTGTCTCCCTCTGGGCCACGGTAGAGTTTGCAAGGGCCTGCTGCTGTGCTGTGTACTGCTAGAGGCCACCAGGTGGGGCGCTTTCCTCCCTGTCCTTCCCTTCTGCTTGTTTATTGCCCAGCTAGAATGTCTTACTCGCCTTCCAGGGATCTCTGTAATGTAGCTGTGCTCCTTGGCAGTCTCAGGTTGACTGGAGATGATTTGAGAGCCCTCAAAATGATGGTAGTTGGCTTTTATCCTTTCGTGTCCGTTTTCTTTTAGCAGGTTACCATTCTGCATTAGGAACTATTTTCAAATTATTTTATTTCTGCTCAGTGGAGAGCAGGGCCACCTTTCCCTTTGAAAAGGATTCGATGGAGGAATTGGCAGGTGACTGCCCAATCTCTGAAAGAAAGGGGACCTGCCTGAATCACTTCTGAACTACTCAGACCACAAATGCTTGATTGGTGATTTTCCTCACATGATTTATTTAGGATCATAGCTTTAGAGCTAGAAGAGATTGTAGTTCAGTCTCATTTTACTGAAGAGGTTAGATGGTTCATTTCAGATACGAGCTAATTAATAATGGTAGTTTCTGACTCTGCCGCTCGTTACTATTTCTAGTGTCTTAAATGAATATGCTGTATGTTTCTTCAAAAATTAAGATTCTCCTGGATGTCTTCAGGAAGATACTTGAAAAGCTATTATTTCAGTTAATACCACCACAGTATTCGTTAAAGTAAACTTGTTTAAAGGCGTGTACTAACTGCAACCTTAATAACTACTCAGTACAAATGGCCTTTTCCATTAGGTGGATGTAGCAGAAATGTTCTTTCAGCACTGGTAGGAGCACAGCAAGCAGCCTTATAAAACAGGTTTTCGTTAAACAGACATTGCGGTCATTACCTTAGATTTACTTCATGTTGATTTTTGTTCCTATTTCTTATTGAGAATCGATCACATAATTCTTTAAAGGACAAATAATCCTTGCTAAATATCTTGAGATTTTTTTTCTTTAGTAAACAAAAAAGCATCCCAAAACCAAAAAACTTATTTTCACATTAAAATGGAAATGTCTTTTGCAACTTCAGACTGCTATGAAAAAGCAGTTTTTATAATATTTTGTGTCCCTGAATCTTTTAACTAAATGGTTTACAAAGAGAAGGTAAACCATCTGTGATCTGGCCAGTTGTACTTTTAGCTCCCAGAGAGAAGGTTGGTGTGAGTAAAAACCGCGCAGGAAAACTGAGGGAGCGCCGTTGCCGGTGATGTTCGCGTGCGCCATTAAACCACCTCCGTGCGTGGGGAGCATTCACTTCTTAGTTTCGAAATTGTATTTGGAATTGTTGCTGTGTACTAAGAACTGACCTAAATAAAATTCCACAAAGTATCTAAGTGTTTTGTGAATTATTTATGCAAGTAACCTTTCTTTCTAAGGTGGTATGTAACAAGTGTGGAGAGAATCCTTCCCGTTGCTCCAAACCAGCAGCTCCTTTTTAGTAAGTCAGTCTTCAAACTTCAAATATTTAAAATGTTGAGCCTTAAAAGAATTTTAATCTCTGTGAAATTTCTTTTCTTTAAGACAGCTGTTTTCTATCACTATTTTTGCTGTAGGTGAACCTAAAGTTTTATGATCCCTTTTCCTCTAGTTTCGGTAAATGATAAAGTGATTTGTAAATACACCTTCATGCATACCTTGACATAGCAGTCCAACATAATTGTGATACCAAAGTTTTGAACAAAAAGGATCCCTTTTGTACTAGTTTGTACTTCTGTTTAAAAGAAAAAAAACATCTATTTAACAACCAAAGTGTCCTACTTTGTGTACTTAAAGATTAACCAATTGAACACTTCAAATTGTATTTCACTTTCACACTTAATTTGTTCTTACTGCACAACCTATTTAGGGTACCCCAACATAAATAGCAAAACCAGGTTCTTAATGGTGCCAATCCACAAACAGTCAAGTGAAGTCCCCATGTTTAAACGAAATCTATGCATTATTTTTATTAAGGGTTGGGTAAGCTGACATGGTGAAAACATGTAACTGGAAAACAAATTTACACTGACTGACTACTGTCCTAAGCCATCACAATACTTCACTGGCAAGAGTAACTTGGAAAATAACTTAATCTAGCAGTAGAACAAAAACATCGTCAGTAGTACTGAATATATCTCTCTCATATATATATATCTATATATATCTATAGGTTTGCACAATCAGGGAGCAAGGCACATAATGAAATGAGAGCGTACATTTAAACAAGAAAATAATAGCAACAAAGCTGAAAGGAAAATTGTAACTTCATCTTCACCGAACTGTGCATAATCATTTGAATGTCCTCTATCGGCTACTTTATAATGCAGTTCCTTTTGTCTTCTTTTCATGCTTTAAAAAAGTACATTCCTATGTTGTATCTATTTACTTATTTATAGCAAAGCTTCCCACAGCCTACATGTCAATGTGAGCCTTGATTTAACTTTTTAAAGAAATGGGAAGAGAGGGAGCAATCCCAGTTAAATATTATGTGCAATTTTCCTTTAAAATAGTAAACAATGTTTTTACACCATTTAGCACAAGCTAATGATATTTTATTTTAAATGTACATTTCTGTAAAAGGAGTTCACTAGTGACTGACAATAAAATTAAACATCATTTGAAACATTCCAGTTAATGCTTACCTTCTAGGAGAGATTATTTACAAGTAAAGGAAAAATATAGAGACGGCAATCATGGAAAATGGCAGTTTTTGGTATTAGGCTACCATAAATTCAACAGTGGAAACAGTGGATAGTTCCAAAGATGCTGAGGTTTTTCCCCTCTAAGTGCTGCAAGCATATTCTGCCTAAGAAAGCTTCAGCATTTATGAGCTGAGCTAGGTGTCAACAGCCGTCTGTGACCAACACACTCACTTCTGTCTTTGGTAGAAAGCAGCCAGTCCTCGTTAGGCAGATGGAGCCATCTCTTGTGAGACAGTGACTTTTTCTATTTTTGCATAAACTAGAAATACCTTCCTTTTCACTAGCACCTCAAAATCTGCTTGTTAGGTTTTTTTTAATGCTATTCCTCCCAAAGAGTTCAAGGCACTGGGGATTATAGCAGATACTGTTTTCTCTTCAAAACGGTTCATTACTCGAACAAGCAAAGGGCAAACCAATTGGAGATTTTTCCCTCTTCTAGTGTTTATCAAGTATATTGTTTGCTTATTTTTGTTTAGCAAGTTTATTTTACAGATAAATATCAGATTTCTCTTACATATAGACCTTCCAAGTATACAACAGTAATGGAGCACTTAGTTAAGGGATAGACCGGTAAGGTGTAGAAATGTACTTCTCTTGAATTTTTAAAGGAAAATAAATCGTAAAAGATAGTGGGATATTTCTGTTCTACTCGCCTCTCTGTGAATCAGATCTCAATCTTATGAGCAGTCCCATATCCCTGCAGGATCAGGGATATCCTGCTTTATACAAATGATGTAAAGTGTATAAAACAAAACACAAAGTGCCAAAAGGTGCTTGCAACCTAAAGTGATTTTTAGAGATAGGATCCTCTCATCAAGTGTATAAATCCAAATTATTCCTATTTCACTTAAAGCAAGTCAGGGTCATTCAGGTTTACTTGGTCTAAATGTGAATAAAATCTGTGAGATTACATCAGTTTTCTAAACATATCTATAGATGACATGTTTTAAAAATTTGGTAACATAAAATTAAGAAAACAGTTTTTTACGCATTTAAAAATTTTAACATAACGTGTTTATGTTTTTAAAATAAAATTACTTTTAAGAGAAGAAGGAAGGCGACAAACAGTTCTGTTGGTGACCTGATAGTCAAATCAAACCAATCCACATCATTACCTGAGAATTTTTTCAGGCTAAATTCATGACATCACATTTCTGACACAAGCTTATTAACAACCATTTTCCCAGGATAGCAGTTTCTGAAACTCCAATGGGATGCACAGCTCCTATGAACTTTGATCTGCGTTGTCGCTCTAATTTTATTTAAACTTTCTTCATAACCTCAGCACTGTTTTCAGTGCAGTAAACTTATGTAGAGAGGGACTTCTAAGATAGTTCACAGCCCTTAGCAGAATACGCCGTCAGTGGCCAGCAGCACCTTGATTTCAGAGGACTGGAAAACACCGTGTCCACATTACTTTGTTTGAAATTTTCTGATTAAAATCGTGTCCTATAACTTGTAAGAGTCAGCAATCTTTCTCATTTTAAAAAGTCTCAAATTTTAAAAATCCAATTTATCGTTAAGTGGGCATCTGTAAAAACCTTAAGAATAGTTAAAAAAGAAAAAAAATATAGTTTTCCCAAGTGAGAATTATAGTAGCTAAGGGGAAAAATGTATTTATTCGAGTAATAAAAGCCAAGCTGGTAACATTTCAATAGAGAGTAGCCTAACATTTATATTAATGCCTGTAAACCTGATCTAAGTTGTAGCTGACTTCAGAGTTGGTACCAAAACGTTAATTGTAGGGTGATTAGTGACACCCTCAAGTTAACCAAGTCACTAGCTCTGATAGGCAACTGTCTGCATTGCCTTCCACAGGATGTTCGTCCACATTCAGCGCAGCCCAGTCAGCGTCCAGGCTTCCTCCTCTGACCTGGGGACCTATGCTGTTGAGCAGGAGGCAGTGGAGGAAGGCACAGAACTGCCATCTGGCAGTGGGCTTCCCATGCACACACCAGAGAAAATAATGAAAATAGTCTCAAAAACAAACCCACAAAACTTCATCCAATAAAAATCCAAATTAAAAAACTCCATCAGGGAGCTAAAATACTGGAAGTATAACCTAAAGTGTTGTTATTTGTTTATGATTCAGTTGTTTCACCATGACATAGATAACAGCCTTTTCCATCTTTGGAGAAATGTAAACAGCCTGTTGTCAGACATGCCAATGGACTGGGGTATAAATGACAGTTCCTCCCCGACCAGCTCGCTTCTGGGTGTCCCTAGTGTTCTGCTCTTTCAGGAGGATGATGCACCAAAAGCATCAGTCTAGGAGGGCTGTCATCAGCACTGACACAGCAAGAAGGCCCAGGAAAGCCCGCACTGAAAAAGAACAGGCTGTACCTTAGGGTTCACATCATTGATTGAGGGTATGTTACAAAAGTTGAAATTGTCCACCTTCATGTAAAAATGACACCACCACAGTAAAAACCCCTAGTGAATATGTCATTGGATTCCTATTCCTAATAGCTCTTTTACTTCACAAATAAGGGTGATTCTTAGAATATAAAACTGCAGGCAGAGACTGGGAAATTATTTCACTCATGATGCACACCGAAGCTTGGCAATCTGTACTCAAATGTTATCCAAGTTGCTGTGCATGCCTAAATCAACAATGCAGATGTGGTAAAGGTCACTTCATAAGCATAACGATATCAAGCACACAGACCTTGTGAACAATTGAAAAGACCCAAAAAGTATCTTTTAAAGAAGCAGGGCTTTAAAAAATGCACAATGGTATATGTTCTTAGTGCTCTACAAGCACAGGAATATACTGAACAATATCCTGCAGACGTGGCAATGGAGAGGTCGGTGCCATTTACTCTGATGCAGCCCTTCCTTGGAGTGGGTTATATGGGTATCTGGACACTGCATACTCAACTTTCACTTACTCTCTCATTCCTATCTGCCCCACTGCATGGGCACATTTTCCTTGTGGGACAGTGTCAGGAGGTGTCTGCCCTGGTCATCCTCAGCCACAACAGGCAGACCTTCATTACAAGATGTGCTCACGTATCGCTCCTGGGGGAGCTAGTCTTTGTTCTTTTGTTTAAGAGCAGCTCTGAGACTGCGTTTTATTCCTAATGGTCAATTTATCACATTTTTCTCAGATACAAAAGAAAATTCACAGGGGAAAAAAAACCACATGAAGTGTAGCATGAAGCACACAGGATTACTGAGTCATTAGAGCAATGATTTGTTATGCCAAACTGCACATGCATAATATGTAATGCCACTCACTGTGCTTGGACTACACTACTCCCCACCTGGCTGCAGCCGGCGTCTTCATTTCCCTCCCTCTATGATGGTCTCACACTTACAGAATTCTTTGTATTACACATTACAACCCCTGTACAACCTGATTAATGATACCTGCACAGGGGCCATTTGTTCCTTCTGTAATCACCCCGACCTTCTAGAGAGCAATATAGACGTTTCAGAAGGTGATTTGTTTTTCATGATGATGCACTATATTGGACATAGGATGGGAATACTTGATATAGCAACGGTTACAGATCCCTAAGATCAACATCTACGTAAAGCACACACTTAGAAGATAACTAGTGACCCAAAGACATCCTGGACTGAGCATTGCAGGGCACTATGTCAGATAGTTCTTATATGAGTCAAAGCAAGGATCGTGAAGCCACGCTTGATGAAGCTTCACAGAGCCCACGGAAGGATTCCAACAGCATAAAAACACCCAAGATTACAGTACGACATTATCCACGTGTTGTAGGCAAAGAGCTTACCTGTGAGAACACGTCCCAGGTTCAGCGGTCACTGCAGCTGCACTGCAGCTGGAATGGTGGTTACTGCACAACCGTGTAGTGACTGAACTTCCCCCACACCGCACCGTTGACCCGTTCTATGAAGCTGAGAGTTTCCTGATTAAAGTGCCCCTTTATGTACAGTAATGAAGTGTCAATCAAGCAGTTATAACTTCAGCCAACCGGGGAAAAACAAAAGCCCTATGAGACACCAAACGTCGTGGCTGTCTTCTCAAACTGAGAAACAGCACATTATACGTGTACTCCTCAGTACATAGTAACATGCACAGGTAGCCGCACATGGAGACTTACAATATACCTTCTAAAGTCATCAGAAGTTGTTTTGGTCCAATCCACATGACAGATAATAGAAATCGCAAGGGAAAGGACACATCCCCTTCCACGCCTCTGGTGCCCAAAATACACAAAACCCACTTTCAGATTATGAAAGGGAATAAATAGAATCACTCCCAGCTATATATATACGCATATATATATATACACACACTTATATACACACACTGCAGAGGTATGTACACACACACGCACACAGCTGGACACTACCTGAATAACATACCAGAAGGCTCCGACACCTGAATTCCTAGATGACCAGGCGAGCTGATTGTAGAACTGATTACAGAAACCATGACAGTAAAGACCTGCGGTAGCTACCAGTCTCTGGAGAGCTTGGTGTTCTGGTCTCTCTTAGGGGGGGCGGGAGGGGGTCCCCTCCGCAAGGTTGCATAGCCTGATATGTGGCTGCCTCCGTAGCCAGCTTTCCGCTGATCAGAAAGCAGTTCCGGGGGAGGCGGGGGCAATGCCATGTCGTCCATGGTGGCCGTGGGTTCTGCTCTGGACGCGCGGGAGGAGGAGAGCGAGCCGTGCCGCGTGATGGACTTGCGCTGCAGTGTCCGGTTGAGGTCGGCCAGGAACCCGGGCTGGACCCCGAGGCCGGCTTTGGGCGAGCTGGGCACGGCGGCCGGCGGCTCCGAGGGCTCCCCCGGGGTGAGGCGGGTGCTGTCGTTCCGCTTGGGCCGCGTGGGCGGCGGGGCCTTCCTCACCGCCGGCTTGGACCATGGCTGCGGCTGCGGGCTGACCACGGCCACCTTGGGAGAAGCGGCTCCCAGGAAGGCCGCGGGGATCTCTATGGGGGGCGGGGGGAGCTCCACCTCGGGGGGCGGGGGCGGGAAGTCAGAGTCGGACGGAGGAGAAGGGAACTCCCCCGCGGGGTCCTTGCCACGCGGACTCGGGGCCGCGGCCTTGGCTGCCGCGCCCGCCTGTGCGAGGACTCCAGGGAGGTGGACTCCGGAAAGGTTCAGCTTCCCAGGTTTGGGGGGCGCCGCAGGCGGCGGCAGGGCGTCCTTGCTGGGAGACCCAGAGGGTTCTGCGGGCGGCGCGAACTTGCTGACCAGACTGTCCACCGAGGGCCTCTTGGGCTCGGGGGGCGCCGCGCCGCCGCTGGACTTCATGCTGGAGTTGCGCTGCGGGGTCGGCGGAGGCTTCTTCGCCCCGGGGCTGGCCGTCTTGCCCGCCTTCTTGCCGGGAGACCCGCTTCTGTCCGGGGCGGGGGCGGTGGGGGTCGCTGGCGGGGGCGGGGTGGGTGGAGGCGGCGGCGGGGGCGGCGGGGGGAACACCAGGCTGCTCTCCGGGGGCGGCGGCGGGAAGTCCGGGGAAGGGGCAGGGACGGGGCTGGGCTGCCACTTGGGCTTGGCTTTCACGGCGGGAGGGGACTGCGGGGCCACGTGCGCGGGGACCGGCTTCGAGGGCTGCGGCTCCGCGGGCGCGGGCGGCGGGGGGAACTGGCTGGCCATCGCCTTCACCACCGAGAGCCCGGGGGACGGCGGGGCGGGCGGCGGCTTCCCGCCGAAGCTCTGGTGCTTGGGGAGCGTGGGCGGGGGGACGGGACCCGGAGGAGCGGCTGGAGAGGGCGGGATGTGGGGGAAAGCCGGCTTTTTTGCGGGGGGGACGGGGGGAAGAGGGGTAGGGGGCACGGCCTGTGTCACCACGGGGGGCGCGGTCTTGGTGCTGGTGGGCGGCAGGGTCACCAGCGGTTTGGGAGCAGCTTGGGGAGAGGCAGGCGGCGGGGGTGGGGGTGTGGGAGAGGCCGCCTGAATACCGTGCGGGACAGGATGAATCTTCAGTGGAGGTGGCGGGGGGCTGAACTGTGGGAGGGACTGGGCGCAAGGCACGGGTCTGAGCTGGGCCATGGCCGAGCCAGGGGTGGGGGCCGGTGGAGGGGGCGGGGGTGGGGGCACAACTCCGTTGGGGGGCACCGGGATCTGAGGCTTTGCTGGCTGTGAGGTCGAGGACAGAGACTGCATCACCGAGGGTGGTGGGGGCTTAAACAGGGGTCCTGAATGCTGAGAGGCGTTCTGCAGCCTGGTGATTGTGCTGTACTTGACAAACATCGTGGCTGCTGAGCCCCCAGAAGGTGCAGACTGACTGGGCAGAGGAGGGGGAGGCGGGGGCGGGGGGGGGAGGGGGAGGAGGAGGGGGTGGGGGTGGGGGTGGAAGAGGAGGCGAAGGCTGGGAGGCCGTGTAGGGGCTGACAAGTTTAGGTTGTGGGGATAAAGGGGGCATAAGTGAAGTGTAGGATCGATTCATAGAGTCCATTCTGGCCTAAAAGGAGTACAAAAGGGGGGGTGAGAGAAAACATAATAGTTACAGATGTCAGCTGTGAATGGGTAAAAATAAAAGGCAAGGACTCGGACATGCATGAAAAAGCGCAGCAGCTGTGACCATAAAGATGAGCAAGGCAGGAAGGCTAAAATCTGGCTCCCTGGGCAGTGAGGGCGCAGGGGAAGTCTGTTTATCCAACATTTTGAAATAGCTCGACTGCCCAACAGTCTAGGAACAGCTTCTTGCTGCAGTGCTGTCTGATGGAGGCAGGCTGTTCCAAGCGGGAGCCCACCCTCTGAGCACTGCCCTACCCAAACTCTGGCAAGGGGAGATGTGATGGCTGAGTTGTTTCAGTCCATGACTCGTCCACATCAGGCAGGTGCCCTCGCTGGGTTTAGGAGTGCTGATGGAGGGCCTTCTGAGAATGAGGATGGCTTTTGGATGCTAGTAAGCTGACACTGAGAGTGTAAGAATGCTCAGCGGGCGTGCACAGTCACACAGGAGTGAACGAGCTTCACACACACACACACACACACACATGCTCATGTGAGACACATCCAGCATACACAGAAGTCCAGCAATGCAGGTAAACAGGGGGCATTCTTTACATTTTACTGGAAAATACACAAAGAAATGCTTCATAAACATCACTGCAAAAGATCATAACAATATCCGACAAAAAAGGCAGAAGACAGTAAGAAAGTTTGGAAGGCTAAAGGAAATGTATCAAGAAAGGGGAGCTAGAATTTGCCAACAACCTGCTGGCCAGCCCATCGAGCGAGCACCTCTTAGCATGGCCCAAATTATCACCCTGAGTCACTGATTTCATGGAACTCCTCATGCATGGATGTGGTTCAAGGATGTTTGAAAAGAGCAGAGGAAGGACCCTTGCTTAATAACTTTGGGTACATCTTTTAGGCCAGCCGTGGGTGGGCAAACTACGGCCTGCAGGCCGGATCCGGCCCGTTTGAAATGAATAAAACTAAAAAGAAAAAAAAGACCATACCCTTTTATGTAATGATGTTCACTTTAGTTCACACAAACACTCCATCCATGCTTTTGTTCCGGCCCTCCGGTCCAGTTTAAGAACCCATTGTGGCCCTCGAGTCAAAAAGTTTGCCCACCCCTGTTTTAGGCTCTTTGAATATCCTATGAAGATCCAAGTTAAAACCATTTGTTTTCAATTATGAATGAAATCTAATTAGCATGTAGAAAGCTGAGGTTAGTGAACTAGAAGGCTCATTACAGGGCTGAATTCTGTTGCTCATCAGGACACTCGAATGCTTCTTTTAAAACTGCACATCAAAGTAAAAGCATTAGTCTGCAAGACTTGGTTACAGGAGTCACCCAGGTTAATGTGTTTCCATAGAGCAGCCCCTGACCTTAACTTGACCCTGTCTTGGCTGCTGCAGGGGTGTAGACCTTAGCTGTGCTGGCCTTCTCATTTGGCACCTGAGACTGAGGTAACAGAAGAAACACAAGAGGATCAAGACTCAAACACATCGTCACTGCTGCACCGCAGGGCGCACGCTCCTGAAACTGCAATGGGAGTGCCCTGCTGGATCACGGGCAGGCGATCCTGTTTTCCTTGGCCTTTCATTTAAAATGCACATGGACAGCACCATTAAACACGCAGTAAGGTGAAGACTGTTCTCCAGATGTCTGCAGTAAACCTGCTTCTCTACTACATACATCGAGTAATTAGCACCAGAAAGGGGGCCACTCTATCCACATTAAGTGGAAGAAAGGAGAGGACTATTTCTTAAAGTTTCAGCCTCTGATAAGGAAGTTAAACTGTAAGTGCTTTGAGAATTTAGGCCATTAGAACCAATTCTCAAATATTTACTTCTAAGAGGCCTCCACTTTGGGTTACTAATGCCTCCTCCACCTTCCCAAGGACTAAATATTAAAATTAAGGAATAAACCGAGGGAAAACCATTTAATTCTCATTCGTGAATGTACTTGCATAAGTGATTCAGACCAAAAGAACAGAAAACTCAAAATCAGTATTGGGTAAAAACAAAACGGTCAGGTCAATGTGCCACTGGTCCTCAGCAGCGGCGTGAGCAGGTGAGTGCGGCCAGGACACACCCGCACTCTCATTTCAGAGGCAATTTGATATGGGGTTTTACAATCCTCTAAAGAACTTCTCCATTTTTTTTACATAGTCTTGCAATAATTACACTTGTCCTTCAGTGGCACTGAACAAGCTACTATGCAAGGCTTAGGGATCCAAAATTTTAAGGGGATTAATTTCAATGTAGCCTTCCACATATACCATAATTGGAGAAAATTCATCAGTGTGTAGAGAAATGTCAAAAAGCATAGAAGAAAAGAAGATAAAGGAGTCTGAATAAACTAAATTAATAATACATAAAGAAACACTCAACCATTCGCAGCAAGATCAGGGCACTGGCACTGAATGGTGTTGCTCTACTCAAACCGACTTAGGAGGAGGACGAAATCAGTATTTCTTACAATGTGAGCCACTGAAAAGGAGCTACACTGCCAGGGTTTTTTGTTTGTTTTTCCAAATCACAATCACTAGAGCCCATTCACAAATACTCATTTCTGAGGAGAAACCAAAGAAAGAATATATCATGTAGAGCCAAGAAAGATTCCTAATACGGTGGGGCCTTGACTTACGAGTTTAATTCGTTCCAAGACCGAGCTCGTTCAGGAGCTCGTTAACTCAAATTACTCTGTCAACTCAATGCAAAAGATCGGCCGAGAGACAGCTGGTATCTCAAAAAACTTGTTAGTCGGGACACTCGTAAGTCAAGGCCCCACTGTACAGGAATAAAAGAGCAGCAAGCTAAACCCACGCAACACCACAGGCTTTTCTCTACTGATGACACAGGTGTTACCTTGCTGGACTCTTCCAGCTGCGTGCCTCGTTTCCAGGCCTCGGAGAAGATGGAGCTCACGATGCTTTGGGAACGGACGTGTCCCGCTGGCTGGGAGTCGGACACCCCACTGTCAGACTGAGTTGAGTGATTTGACTGAGACTCTGTTTAAAATAGATTTTCAGAAACAGTATTACATATGTCAGTATTCTGACAGTATGAATATGTAGTTCAGACAGATCTTTTGCACAAGACCAGGTGCTTTATAGAAGAGCAAAAAGTTACTTTTATGCATTTCCTATAAAGCACCGCCCATATTTTCCACTAGAAAACTTCCCTTTACCTTAGGGGCTAATAGGAAATCTTGATTCTTTTAAAACAGTTCACCGTGAGAGACTGATAATTACAATAAAAGGCTCATATGATATAACTGGTATCCTGCCAATCTATCTTGGAAGAACTCCTAGCAAATAAGAAAATGATCCATCAATAGAGCAGTGAATTTTTTTTTCTTCAATTTTATCTTCATTACATCAAAATTCAATCTTTTTATATATCCCTGCTCCAGGCCATCCCAGAGAGTACTCACTTATGAGTTCAGATCTCTACGTGATGACCACATCCTGTTCCCAGCAATGAACAGTACTCAGAATTTGATTCCCAAGTGGGAAGTATGTCTCCTAGGGCTTAGGTTTTGGCACCACAGGGCAGCAGCTGCACTGACAGCCTGGCCTCCTGGCAAGGTGCGAGGGCAAGTCTTCAGGGGGCTGGGAATGGCTGAGGACACAGTGTAATCTGAGTGACTCCCAGGCGAGGGGACTGGGAAGGTTATTTTACTGGACTCCAGGTCAGTCAGATTACCATGCAGAAGCACCTAGCTCAGTGCCTGACATCTGGTAGAGATGCCAATGTTACAGCTAGTCCTATCCACTCACTCTATGAGATGTGGATATTATTAGATTGCCCAGGATATTGTCCCCTCTAGCAAGTGTAAAAAAAAAAAAAAAAAAGCTCATGTACCTATTTATTATAATTTAGAAATTAGGTTGGCTGTTTTTTAGGAACCATGCTGAAGCACCCAGGTCTACTAGCACTCTACAGGGACACCTTCATATTGCTAGTAAACTGTGCACTGGCTTTTCACACTACCTGGGATGCTGGAAGAGCTGGATCCTGATTTAATGCTGGAGCTGGATAAGGAAGTCCAATCACAAGCAGACTCTGTCCTCTTTAAGGCTTCTTGGTAGTTCATGTAGAGCTGCTTCCCATACTAAATAGAAGCAGAAAGTGAGGACATCTGAACTTCACAGGGCATGATATAGCCGGGTGAGGCAGGAAAGGGGGTACATTTCCGTTTACTGATTCATAGTCTGTATTAAAATTACTACTTAATAATCCTTCAAAAATACTTTTAATACCAGTAAATTATAATCTCTTATTTTTCTTCATTTTTACAAAGGCAGCAAGAAGTTAACACCTGATTGTATTCATTATCAATATAAAGTTTTTTTTCAGTTATTCCTCAAGCAACTTTGATTTTATAGCTATAATAAATTTTATTTCCAGTTACTTAATATAATCATCTTCAAAATGTGCTTTAAAAGATTTTTTTTTAAGATTTACTTTTTTTTATAGAGCAGTTTTAGATTCACAGCAACACTGAGAGGAAGTTCCAGAAATTTCCCATACGCTCCCAGCCTCTAACATGCACAGCTTCCCTGTTACCAACACTCCCCACCACAATGTACATTTGTTACAATCAATGAACCTACATTGACATCATCATCACTCAAAACCCGTAGTTGATCTTAGGTTTACTCTTGGTGGTGTACATCCTATGGATTTGGACAAGTGAATAATGAATGTACCCATCATTATAGTAGCATATAGAGCAGTGGTTCTCAACCTGTGGGTCGCAACCCCTTTGGGGGTTGAATGACCCTTTCACAGGGGTCACCTAAGACCATCGGAAAACACATATATAATTACGTATCGTTTTTGCGATTAATCACTATGCTTTAATTATGTTCAATTTGTAACAATGAAATTGGGGGTCATCACAACATGAGGAACTGTATTAAAGGGTCGTGGCATTAGGAAGGTTGAGAACCACTGATATAGAGTGAGTATGAATATTTTTACTGCCCTAAAAATCCTGTACTCCGCTTATTCATCCACCCCCCAAAGCAATTTCTTTTGTCTAGGCTGAATTCTGAACATAAGAATCATATGATACATGCTCCAAAGCCAAAATAAATCACCTTTGACGCTATACAAGCTTTTACTAGCAGTATTATTCCATAGATACATACCAACTGTTAAAAGTTTATGTCTAGCCCCAAAGAAAAAAAAGATATTTAAAACATAAGGCCTGAGAAAACCAGACACTGGCAAAATCATAAACATGAAACAACCGGAATAATTATCATGACAATCAAAACCATATAATTAAGTACCTCATTGTCCTGTCATCAAACTCACCTTTGCAATGCGGATACCATTGACCCACTGGTGCAGGGTCCTCACATCATCACAGCAAAGGTATTTGATGTACTGAGATTTCTTCTGGATCTGTGGGTGCTGCAAGGTTAAAGACAAAGTCCTACTAAGTCTGCTGGAGAACTAAGTGTAGTTTTCAGGTGAGGGCTGGATGGTGGGTGACTGACCTGACCTTGACTGCAAAATGCAAGTGCTAGCACAAATTTAAGTTGTTTTAACTCCACTGGGCCACAACCACTTGTTCTCTGAGAAGAAAACCCTAAATCACACTCAGTTTTAGATGTAATGACTGTTTATTATGACTTCTCTTTTTAGTTATTCTGAACATTTTTTAAAATGGCTATATTTTACCTAAAGTATTTAAATTATGTTCAATTATAAGAGGTTTTAAAAATTCTCTAACCATATTTGTTTGTTGTGGAAACCCATGAAATCAATAAAATAAGCAATTTGAATAAGTTAACACTGCAGCAGGAATACGTGGCCACCACTGTAAGTTGTATATCTGCATTGTTAAAAGATCAGTCTCTCTGGTCTACAATGAGAGAAATGTAAATTCATTTATTCTATTCTACACATTGCTTTAGAGCTCAGTTCCTATGATAAGACATTTAACACCAATTTAGTTATTGAATGCTACAGTCAGTTTTAACCATCACACTTCAACAATAAGAGGTTAGCAAAAACAATATCTAACAGTTTTTTCTCCTGATAATATAGGCTCCACAGCCTTGTCTTGGAATACATGCCCTTCTCTCTCCTCATGAATCACATTAAAATAAACCACCACAGCAACCTTGAAAGAGCAGAGGACAGGCAGAAGAGCGTGTACTTTTCTATAAGAGGAGGAAGGGGAATTTCATTTCATTCATTCAACAAATTCTTATTGAGCTACAACTATCTGCCAGATGCTTCAAGTAGATGTTGGGATACAAAACAGAAGAGGCCACAGTTTGTGCAGAAGATAAAATGGGCTGACTGAAAAAGCTTTCTCTAGTGTTGCCAACTAGGGCTAAAAGAGCTGTTCTCCATCTCCTGCTTCCCTGAGACACTGCTCACCAGCAGGGTTCAGACATCTGAACAAGGGGCTACAGGATGGCTCTGCACCTTTATCCCTACTCCTCCCTTTATGGTGATTTACAAACTGTTCTTGACTAATTCCTTCCATTTCCTGAGAGTAGGGCTAAAACCAAGGGTGTTCCACTGTAGCGGTGACCCTGCCTGAGACAGTGTGTCTTCTCTACACAAAGGGAGTGTTTTTATCAAGACAACATCAGAGAATATCAAAGAGAAATTATCGTTTATCCTTCTCTCCTCATCTCTAACCTGGGAATCAAAGTAACACCCTGAAGAGTATTATGATATGATTGTTTGAGTATTTGCAGGTTACTTGCTAGTTTAAAATGCATTTTAGGACCTCAAAAATTCTCAATCTCCCGTGTAATAAAGGCATTCATTCTATAGCCTTCATATGGTCATTCGGACTTTGTGCCAATATCGCAGGAGAATGCCTGTTCCACTAACATAATGTTATTTTATTAAAAGTGGCGTTTATTGAGCACTTACCATGCACCAGCATTATGCTAAATATTAGCTTATTCCATCCTCATGAAAACCCTATGAGTCACATATAATTACCTCCACAATCTGAGAAGAAATGGAGGCCCAAAGGGGTGAGGACCGCATTCAAAGTTATTTGCCAACAAGTGAAAGAATCAGGATTTGAAATCGTGCAATCTCGTTTCAGGATCCATGCTATTAAACATTATGCCACACTACTGCCTCATAAATGGTGGAATCTTCTACCCAATTTGCTGCCTCTCTTCTCTTTTCCGTAATATTATTCCACCACTTTTAAAATTGCACAAGAGCTGAGAGCAAGTATGGAGGAGATAGTCTTTGCTAAAAATCAGAAGCTTTGCATTTAAATTATTAAATACTCCAAAGAGAACATACAATGCAATTACTTCCAAAACAAATGAATAGCTACACCAAAAGTAATTATTTCACTTCTAAAATGATGTTGATTTGGAATGTTTGCATTCTTTAATAAAAGGTAAAAATTTTGAGAATAAGAACATTTAAAAATATAATAAATTATGGATTACTATTGTGCTATTTGATTATTTTTTTATGTTTATGCCAAACATTAGATTGAGACTGATAATTTCTAAAACTCTGTAATTAAAAGTGATGCTATAAAATCACAGTCCAAGTGCCAAAGGAAAACCACTGAATGTATACTCACCATTTATTACTTTGGAAACACATATAGACTTGAAAATTACTTCCCTCAACTAACATGCAAGAAGTAAAAAAATAAAAACATGTAACATTCCACCCACTCTAACACTTTTGATCCTTCTAAACCTCAAAAAAATAACCCCTTAGAACAAAAATATTCTTAACCTAAGAATTTTATAAGCTGCAAAAGGAAGTTAGATAATACTGCAATAAATAACAACTGTTGGCAAGGATGTGGATTAAAGGAAACCCTTCAGCGGTTCTCAACCTGTGGGTCACGAACAATGAAAATACATCCTGCATATCAGATATTTACATTACAATTCGTAACAGTAGCAAAATTACAGTTATGAAGTAGCAACGAAAATCATTTTATGGTTGGGGGTTACAACAACATGAGGAACTGTATTAAAGGGTCGCGGCATTAGGAAGGTTGAGAACCACCGCATACTGTTGGTGGGACTGTAAATTGGTGCAGCCACTATGGAAAACAGTATGGAGGTTCCTAAAAAAATTAGGAATACAGTACCATATGATCCAGCAATCCCTCTGCTGGGTATCTATCCAAAGAACATGAAAACACTAATTTGAAAAGATATATGCACTCCTGTGTTCATTGTAGTATTATTTACAAGAGCCAAGATACGGAAACAACCTAAGTGTCCATCGACAGATGGGTTTTCTGGGTCACATGTGATGCCTGAACTGTAGTGGCCATCTGTGACTATAAAGTGAGCCAGCCTGAGAATAAGCTGACATGTGGAAAATGGGGCAGGGAAAGACAGAAAGAATTTAGGTTCTCACTGACAATCTGAGTCGTTAAAATAACCAACTCTTACTGTCATGTAATAAGATCCCCCAAATAAATTTTACTTATATGGGTTAAGTTTATTAGTATTTACTTTATAAGAAATTAAAATACAAGAATACACAAATACACATTTTACTACCTAAGAGAGCAAAGATATCTTCACATGTCATATAACCCCTCTGAAAACTCCATTATACATATGTGAGAGAATGTGAGTGTAAAAAGCAAACAAATTATGTTTTTATGTTTAAGTAATTATGAGGACCCCTTGTCAGGTCCTCAGGGACTCCCAGGGGACCTTAGACCTCATTTGGAAAATTGCTGGATTAAGCTTTCTACTGACTTAAAAATCATTTGCTTCTGTAACCTAAAAGATACAGCAGTATTCTCCAAGAAAGGTTTACCTACAAAAGGGTTACTGTTAAAATATACCTAATTTTATCAAAGCAATAAAAACTCTACACCAAAACACTAAACAAACACCACTACCCCAAACCCAAATGACAATTCTCAGAAAAGCAAAATCAAACAATGACATAAACATGTAGACCTAATAGCTACCAAAGGGTTACTAAGGATGGAGCTAATGAGAAAGACATAATCACCTCCATAATTATCCAGGATTTTTACAAGTTGTTTTTATTAGTGTCCCTACAGATCACTAAAACTTCACTAAAAATATCAGTTCTCAAAGTACAGATATAATTGGTGTGAGTAGCTAAAAATTTTGTATAAAGCAGAGGGGAAAAAGCCCTAAAAACAACTCAGACAGGCAATAATACCTGCATGGACTACCTACATGCATGGATTACCAGGGGTACAGTTGTGTGTGTGTTTCGGGGGGGGGGAGACAATAATTATTTATGGACCAGATGAGAGCCAGTCTACTATGACCACAGTGCCCTCTGATGGTTCTGCTGAGTAAGTACAGAAGAAAAACAAAACCACATACAATTTTATGTCCCACATTTATTTGGCTCTGATCTAAGTTTTCCTAAAATAAGCCTGGCTATGAAATGAAAGCCTCAAATTTATAATCTAATCTATTTTATATATTATGACTCAAATATATTTGAAGTACAGAATAGTTTATGATCTAGTATCCATTTTTTAGTGGCATCAATCTAATAAGAGCTACTTAGCTAAGGATCAGCTGTGGTATAGCACATTATTCACTATCCTTCACTATTCCCTTAAAAATCTACAGAAAAAAGCAAAACCAGTATACTTGATGAAGATCCAAACTATTCTAAAATGTCCAATAACACAGCCTATGTCTAACATCAATTAAAATTCCTAAAAAGAGATACATGTTTACCTTCAGCACCAGACAACAGTCCGTCGGGGCTTTGTATTTGTTCCGATAGTCCTGTCCGTAATAAACATTGACATGATCCAGCTGGAGAAAGCATACCAGATCCCGAGAAACCTAAGATAAAACACAGCCAAATGGATAAATTAACAATAATGTGTAAGCAAGCAAATATCATAACTGGTAACAGTTTCTAGTAGAAAAATCAAAATTTTACCACGTAAAAATTACTGCTATTTTACAGAGGACAAGACAGTGAGATTCTCTAGAAATGTTTCTTTTTTAACCCATGATGCAACAAAAAAGGCCATCTCTTTTACTGTCTTGCCATTTACAATTAACACTGACTTGCTTGGAAAACGGTGGCATTTTAAACAAACTTTAACTATGGTATAGTATATTAAAAATAATCTAGTATAGTAGAGCTCTCTGGAAAGAACAAGAAAATAATGCAGTTCAGTGTCTGTCCAAACATATCTCAAGCACAGTGATTCTCAAGTCGGGGATTCCTTACCAGTTAAATAGGGGCAACAGTAGGTACTTCTCGGGGTGGCAGTAAAGACTGGAAGAAGTGATACAGTGAGGAGCTTAAAACAGTGCCCCCCCGCCCCCCCCCCCCCCCCCCCCCCGTAAGCACAAAAGCAACAGGTAAGGCTGAAACATCCATAATCCCAGAAAGCTATTCTCCCCAAACAACAAGCAGCAAAAACTACTCTGGTAGAAGTCCCAAAAAATAATACATATAAGGATAGTTTCAAATTTGGCAAGAGAATGGAGATGGGCCCAACTAATGGGCAGAGAGTGAACATTTTCAGGTTTCTTCTTCTTTATAACAGATCCGTAAACAAAGCAATTTCTGTGTCCTACAGAAGTTGAAACAAATCAGAGCCTGGATTCACCCTGTCAGCACACTCACTACAAATTAAAATCAATTAGCACAATGAAGAAACTCAAAAGCTAGCAGAAGGGACACACCTTCGCTTTTCCTTTAGGGACATAGTAAATACCAGATGCTCGCAAGAGAAAGTAACGCTTTTTCCAGGACTTCTTGCCATCATCTTTCAACCAAAGGACTCCTTCAATTTCTGGTATAGTTACAGAACTTCCACAAAAACATTCCTAAATGATGATAAATTGGAAAGACATATAATTCTTGGATTCTCAGAACAAAAGTTGTGTTTACTCTTGTAAAATGTATGACACTGTAATTAAACCAAAGTGGCTTTGTATTAAAACCATGCTGTTAATTATACCTCAATTAGAACTTTCTATTGTAACATCATATGGATTTATTTTAGAACTGCTATGGCAGTCCCTGTGAAATTTTACCTAATATACAGCGGGGTTTTTTAAAATATATTTTATTGATTTTTTTACAGAGAGGAAGGGAGAGGGATAGAGAGTTAGAAACATCGATGAGAGAGAAGCATCGATCAGCTGACTCCTACACACCCTCTACTGGGGATGTGCCTGCAACCAAGGTACATGCCCTTGACTGGAATCGAACCTGGGACCCTTCAGTCTGCAGGCCGACGCTCTATCCAGAGAGCCAAACCAGCTAGGGCCTAATATACAGTTTTGAAGAAATAGATGAAATGTCAACTGAGTTGCATGTAACGACACTTAAATGCATTTGTAAACAGCACAGTTATACTAAATTTAATAAAAGTGTCAGAACTAACATAAGCATTGAACTTTATATTTATCCAAATTAATAACACATTTAGATTAGCTGTCAAGCTAAATAGGAATGCATTTTAAAAGAAAGCAACATGCTAAGTGAATGATTACAAAAAGCAACCATGTATTTAGTAAAAGAATTTTAGAAATACTCACTAAAGATTAACATAGGACATATGGAGCCTAAATTAATTTCTCTCTCCCTGAAGTACAGAAAAATTAGGAATTACAAAAAGGATTTTTCTTAATTGTAGTGAGTACCATATAAAAAGCTGAGTGCTGATCTTCACTTTCCTAATTGCCTTGTTGTAAGCAAGCATTTATTCAGGTTTTCAAACATATGAACGTCTTTGGTCTTAATGCTCTTAAATTAGCAAAAGCCAAAAATTCAATATGAATTTGTTTTATTATTCTTCAAAATAAGGAGATGTATGTATTTTTAAAAATGATTATGCATGTAAACATTCAGTAAGACTAAGGCTTGAAATATTTTGTAAACGGCTATTTATATTCAAGTTTCTCTCTGGGTAAGCAGATAAACAGCACAATCATACGCTTCATTGACCTGCCTTTTCTCCCACTCATCAGCTCCCAAAAAGCTCATGCCCCTTTTAGTATACCAGCTGAACTCTCTCCATCAGGCTATAGAAAAATAGAGTCTCCTCTAGTTACACTGCAAAAATAAACATACTGCATTGACATAACTGACTTAAAAAAATGGTGGTTAATATTTTAATATTATAATGGGAGAGTGAAGAGTCATACCTCCAACAGCACTTCTTTGTTTCTATCTGCCATCTCAGCTGTTTCCTTTTTCCCCAAAAGATAGTTCTGGAAAAATGAATAAGTGAAAGTTAAAGGATAAACACATTCTATTATTCCCTTGGCACAAGAGCATATGTGATTTCTTCTAGAGACATAGCACCTCTGTGTCAGTTTCCGGCTGTGTAGAGAAGGAACACTCTTTGGAAAGCAACCTGTGCAGGGACACCATCATTAAATGGCTAACAGTGGCTTCCTCCTTATTTTCCTCATTCATCTTGACCTACTCAATGTAAGTGCTCTCCCCCAAATCCTGAGGTAATACTACATGCAACAATATTATGTTTTGATATATCTAATGAAAGTTGTGTTTACAGGACCTGAAAGGTTTACAAATTAAGTATGACAAAGAAAGCAAATTTCCTTAAAATATGCTGAGCTTAACTGATCCAGATGCAGAAAATGTAATTCTATGTTCTGGGTTTTAAAGAAGAAATCCCAAATTCTCTGAGACTACCATAATCTCATTCTGGTGACTCAACTAAAATATGAATTCTAAATATTAGCCTTATGAAAAAATTTTCAACAATCACCCATAAAAAGATCTATCCATATTCCCAAATGGGTATTCTTCACTTAAAATGTCAAATAAAGATGTGTCATGATTAAGCCACCTGAAGGACGACTCAATACCTTTAACACTGCTACTATTTTCCCTCATTACTACTTTTTATAGTGGGGCTGTTTTCTCTTGCCTATTGATTTTTATAAAATACTAGAGGCTCAGTGCATGAGATTCATGCACTAGGGGGTGTGGAGTCCCTCAGCCCGGCCTGCGCCCTCTCACAGTCCTGGACCCCTCGGGGGATGTCCGCCGGGGATTGGACCTCAGTCGGCAGCCAGACATCCCTCTTGCAGTCTGGGGCTCTAGCAGTTCAGGACCCCTCGCTCCTTACCACCCGCCCATAGTGGAGGCAGGAGAGGCTCACGCCACTGCTGCTGCACTTGCTAACTGTGAGCCTGGCTTTTGGCTGAGCAGTGCTCCCCCTGTGGGAGTGCTCTGTCCACCAGGGGGCAGCTCCTGTGTTGAGCATCTGCCCCCTGGTGGTCAGTGTGCACCATAGAGACTGGTCATTCCGCCGTTCAGTCGATTTGCATATTATGTTTTTATTATATAAGATAGGATTTGGGCAATAGAAAGTATTAACTCAAACATTGTTTTGAAATAAGCAAAGATGCCAAGTAAAGCAAGGTCACAGGTATTAGTATGTGGAACCATTTATAATCAAGGTTACTAAGATCAAAAAATAATTTAAAAAACAAATCAAAATCTCAACTGGATAAATGGCTGAAATAGAGAAACTTAAATATGTAAGTACTTTTCTTTGATGGATAGAAACTCACCAAATAAATAGCTACTGAACACAGCTCTGGATTAGAGCAGAAACCTGGAAACTCCCTGGAGTTACTTCTGCTGCCCCAAGGGCTCACCCCATCTGGCTCTTTGGGCTGATAACCTCCCTCGGGCCTGACAACCTGGGCCCAGCAGTCCCTCCACCCTAGCAGTAGTGAATGCTCCCTTGGGGTTTTACCACCACAGTATTCCAACCAGGTGGTTGCCAATCTTTTAACTCTATCAACTTAGTAATGACAGAACAATATAAGCATTTAAAAATACCAACCTCTGTGTTTTTGAGTCTCACCTGTGGATTTTTGAAAAGTGCATATTTTTCTATACGCTCCATAAACATAAGCCTGTTTTGACTATCTCTTGTCCAGTTAAGAAGATTTTCAACCAAGTTTTCATGGTCTTCAAAGATTCTCTCTGTCCCAAAATAAAATACCAGTACTTTGTTAGTATTCACCAGAATTGCATCAAATATATGAAACCATGCAAAATAATTCACAGCAGAATCACAGAATCCTTACTGACACTACAGTCCTGGGCCCTTAGAGATTTTCCACCTGTTTTCAAATAAGGGAACATGCCCTAATGGTGGTAAGTGACTTTAGCAAGGTCACACGCCTGCTAAATGGAAGAATTAGGACTGGAATCTAATTCTTCTAGGTAGTCTTCAGCTTTCAGCCTTTTCCCATTCATCCTTAAGAAAGAATATGTTAGTTGCATATCATAAATTCTGATATTAAGTATTTCCAATAGTATTCAGTTCTTGTAATTTAAGAAATTTCCAAGATAATTTCTTCTTTGAGTCATGGGTTTTACTTTTAAACATAGACATATTTTCTAATTTCCAAATTAGGAATCAAAGCACATGACCTTTAGATTGAACATATATATTCAAAGAACCCATTTAGATACTAATTTTTTGAAATTTCTTGAGGTTGCTTATGGCCTCATACTTGAATTTTTAGAAATATTCCTCTTCTGCTGGAAAGAATGTATATTTTCCTGTAATTAAATAGTGTTCTAAATTTATTTCATAGATCAAACAAATTATTTTTCAAATCTCCTGTATCCTTTTTTGTCTGCTTGATTGTACTGATCATTGAAAAGGTTCTACTATGAAGGCTGACATGAGTTTCTCCTCGTAGTTCTGTCAACTTTTGCTTTATACAATTTAATGCTATTAGATAAAATTTTTAAATATAGTCTCTTCCTAGTGAATATGTGTGTTCTCTTCATCTCTAGTAATGCATTTTGCTTAAAGTCTATTTTGTCTGCTATTAACAAAGTTAATTACCTTTGTTTTGGTTAGTGTCTTTTCACATTACTTTTACTTATGTGTCTTTAGATAATAGGTCTTTTTTATAAACAGCAAACAGTTGCATTTTATTTATTCATCCTTTCTAATAATATTTCTTTAATTGAGTAGTTTACATTTATCATAATTTGTTTCTACCAACTTATTTGGGCTCTTAGTAGCCCCTTGTTTTCTTTTCTTTTATTCATTCAACAAATACTGAATGACTATATATATATATATATATATATATATATATATATATATAATTTTATTTTTCAAATACAGCTAACATTCACTATTATTTTTTATGAGTTTCAGGTGCACAGCACAATGGTTAGACAACCATATACTGCTTTACAAAGTGGTCTCCTGATATCTCCAGTACCCACCTGGCTCTATATACACTTATTAACATTAGTGACTATAGTCACTATGCTGAGCTTTATATCCCTGTGACTATTTTGTGACTACTAATTTGCATGTAATCCCTTCACCCTTTTCACCTGGCCCCTCAACCCCCTTCCCCTCCGGCAACCAACCAGTCTGATCTCTGTATCTATGAGTTCACCTCATACTGTAGTTGAAGCACTGTGCCATGTATATATGATTAAACAATAGTTACTTAAGACGCCATAGTCAATTATATAAGAGGTAATACAGAAATATTACCACGATCATAAAAATATTCCAAAACTAGCATTCAAACATTTTCTGTGTATCATAATGCTACTACATCTATGAACTCAAACAAGTTTTCTAATTAAGAAGAGTTATAGATGAGTATTACGAGAATACATTTTTATTCATGTTAATGATGGTCTAATAACTTATGACTTAGTTTTGGGAGTTGTGTAGATATTTTCTGAGAGAAGGGGTTAATAATTATATTTTTTATTTATCTGTAAATTGCTGTGAATACTTAAAAAATATAGTAAGTAGTAAGAGAAATGCAAATACATATTTTAAAATAGCAAGTTAACATTGATTACTGATTCAATTAAGTATGCTAAGAGAATTACTGCAAGATTTCTGTAATCATACAACTAATATTACCAAAAAAAAAGTTTTAAAAGTCAAGAATGATATAAAAATGAGGATGTTTATAATTAGAAGACATCATACCAAACTACAAATCTTAGGAAACTAAGACATAATACACCTAGCTAAAAATAAGATATTTGTGCTTGATTTGTCCCCTGAAAATCATATGCAGGAATAAAGACTTCAATACAAATGTGAATAAACTGGTCTTCAGTAAATGTGTTGATCTATGCAGTTCTTATTTGAAGGGCAATAGTATTTTGTTACCTTAAAAAACACACAAAAAGTTTGTTCTATAAGAAAATCTAAACTCAACTAGATACCTCATATTCATAGAAATCTCAAAATACTTGAAAAAAAAAAAAGATAATGTAAAAAGCCAACTTTATATTATAGGGGATAAAATATAAATATGTCTCCAAGTGCTTTTAACCAACACAAAAACTGTTAGAATTAAAAAGAAATTAAAAAGTAAGTGAAGCAATGAGATTACTAACCCATTTGTAACTCAGAGATGGTTTCTACCAGTGACCAGTCTAAACTGTAACCACAGTGGGATTTGTCCATGAGGTTATCCAGCACTTGTCTCACCGTCTGTCTCTCATCCACCATCATTGTTTTAGAACTATCATCAGACATGTGGACTCTAATAACCAGCTATAAAAGGCAAAAAGAAAATTAAATGCAAACCAAAAATTAGACATTTTAGAAACTTCTTCCAATAATTGAGTACTGCTCTTAGTAATGCCCTCAGTTAAATATAAATTAAAACAAACTTAAATTTATTATATAAAAATACTCTAAAATTAGGTATCAAATAACCTACATAAACAAATTTAAAGCCTCCTTAAAATTATAACAGGTTAAGACCATAATAAGATTATTTTGTTTTACTCTGTTAGGGTAACTTAAAATCAGAAATTTACTTCTTTTAAAATGCATTTTATCCACAAAAAATACATGTTAAAAATATATTAGGAAGAAATACCCCTCTACCTCTCCATATTTTAGAGATACATTATATAAACAAGGCAATTTTTTATAAATCTGTAAAACTGATTAAAAAAATCCAAGTATCACCTTTTTCACTTGCGCCTCTTTAATTTTCTCTAGGGCAACTCTGATCTTCTCAGCTTTCAATTTTGCTGCTTGTTCTTCCTGTGAACAAAAGCACTTCAGATAAACTAATGCTAAAATAATGAGATTTTTAAAAGAAGTCTTTTTATCCTTAAGGATGTTGCTAGCATTAAATTTCAGCAAGAATATAACCTCACACAATTATATAAAGTATATTTTAAAAATAACCGTGTTCACAAAGTGAGAGCTCACATATTATAAACTTTTTTAAAGATACAGACTTGAAGATCTCTTATTAGACGAGATTCCATATTCCAGAGAAAAAGAAACTTATACTGTAGTAGATTAATGAGTTTGATTCTGTCCATCTGAAGATGAATTTGGGGTTTTGGGGTAGGGAAAACATGAATGTATATAGGTTATCTGTGAGATTGCCAATTTGTTACACCTGCACAATACTTAACTCTGAATTTATTACCCCTCCAAAGCATGGGCAATCCATTTTTTGCATACTAATGTTTTGTTCTCTTACACTGCAAACGTATCATCATAAAAATAGCAAAACAAAACAAAACAAAAAATCCTAGTATCAATTTATTTGCAACCATATATAAATCCTTAATTAAAAAAATGTAGGTACATTCTCATTAATATACCAATAAAAATAGAAGAGGCTACAGTATATTATAAGTTTTACTCTGCTTTGGAAAAAAACACACAATATAATCAATGTCTCATGTCAATAAACTCAAATTTATTTCCATTAATTCTTTGATAATTTTTAAGTTAAATATAATTTTTCAAATATTTAATTCCTACTAACTTCTACTTTATAAAATTTAGATAAGTAGTAATAAAATTATCAAGAACTACAACTACCCTTAAACCATTAATCTATTTTTTTCCTAAAACAACATATAGTGCTCTAATACCAGTACTTACCTGCACTTTCCAGCAATAGGCCATAGTACACTGTAGCATTAATTGCCAGTTGAAAACTCATGTAAGTAAACCTGTACTTATAAAGGATTACTTTCTAATTCTAAACTTTGATTTCTCTGGAAAATAACTAAGAAAAATATAAACTACCAGCTTGTAGATTCCTTTATTTAATATAAAATTTAAAAACACACACACAAAAAACAACAAAAGAAAAACCTAATTATATCAGACAAACACTATCTACTGTGGATTCTAATTAAAAACCACAACCCGTGTGTTATTCTTCATTAAAAATCTAAAGCTATCAGGGTAAAAAAACTCCCCGCAAAAGAGATTCACTGCTCTCCTAAATTCTGTTGACTTTCCTGTTTCTGAACTGCTTTGCTTTCCTCTTCACATTCTAGGCTTTCTCCCCTCATTTTGAGCTTAGTATTTACTCACTACTCTGTGAAACAGAGAAAAACCAGTGGTTGGGGAAGACAGTGGGCTTGTTTGTCAGAAATCTGATCCTTGTCAATGAAAGGAGTTAGGGAATTAACATAATAACCACCAAGGTCTGGAAATACTATCTGTAAACCCAATTAGACAGAAAACAAAGACCTTTATTTTAACAATGGAGAGGAGTAAGATAAAACTGAATTCTTAGACTATTATAGATATTTTCATTTGATTAAAAGATTAAATCATCCTATCCACACTTTATGCAAATAAACAACAGAATTATTGTTGATTATATATCTGAACAAGATTTTTTCTTAAGGCAGGTTATAAAATAAGAAAACTAAATTACTACTATAAATTTAAATCTCAAAGTCTGATGAGGAAAAACTGGTATGCAGAATCAATGCTTTGCATATTTGGAATATAAACATGAACTTCTAAAAGGCCAAATTCTTTTATATTATAATCAATATGCAGAAGTTAAAAAAATTAGATGTCCTCAAAAGCGTAATACATTTTTAGGATAAAACATATTCAAGAGAATGAGAAGACAGCTATATACACTAGGAAAAATATTTGCAAAATATTTATCAGACATATCTGATAAAGAATTATGATCTAAACTATACAAAGAATTCTTAAAACTAACAAGTAAATGAACAACCCAATTTAAAAATGGGCAAAACACCTTAACAATGAGTTACACAGATACAAGAAGATACACATATGGCAAATAAGACTATAAAAAATGCTCAGAATCATATGTCATTAGGGAACTGCAAATTAAAACAATGAGATACCACTGTACACCTATTAGAATGGCCAGAATTCAAAACACTGTAAACATCAAATGCTGTTGAGGTTGTGGAGTAACAGGAACTCTCACTGCTGGTGGGAATGCAAAATGGTACAACCACTTTGGAGGACATTTTGGTGGGTTCTTAGAAAATCAGACATGCTCTTATGATACGACCCAGCAATCATGCTCCTTAACACTTACCCAAATGAGCTGAACACTTACCTTCACCCAAAAACCTACATATAGATATTTACAGTAGCATTATTTATAAAATGACAAAACTTGTAAGCAATTAAGATATCTTTCAGTAGGTAAATGGATAAATTATACTGATTCCAGACAATAAAATATTATTCAGTGCTAAAAAAGAAATGATCTATCAAGCCATGAAAAGACATGGAGGAAATGGAAAAGCACATCACTAAGTGAAAGAAACCAATCTGAAAAGGCTATACATTCCAACTATATGACATTCTGAAAAAGGCAAAACTATGAAAACAGTAAAAAGATTAGTGTTGTTGGGGGTTGGGTAGAGGAAGGGGTGAACAGGTGGAGCACAGAATTTTTGTGGGGGTGAAACTATTCTAATAGTAGATATATGTCATTATACACTTGTCCAAACTCACAGAATGTACACCAGCAAAAGTGAAGCCTAATATAAACTATGGACTCTGAGTGATAATGATGTGTTAATATAGGTCCATCAACTGTAACAAATGTACCATTCTGGTGGGAGATGGTGATAATGGAGACTATGCATGTGTGGCGGTAAGTAGTATGTAAGAAATCTCTTTACCTCTCCTCTAAATTTTACTATAAAATATAAAGTCTATTCAAAAAAGAAATATAAGAATTCAAATATTACATCTGATATTGGTTATAAATTTTATTATGAAAATTTATTTTCACAACTCCCCTTTTAGTATACTATCTAGAACACAATCAGTGCTATTTTTTGAAGAAATGACATCAAAAGTATTTCAATTATAAGATTAGCTTAAACTCCCAGATCAGTTTCTGCTCCACAGGCCAACAGGAAAAAAGCTGATACACTGGAAGAAAGATTTAAAGAAACAAAGACTCCAATAAATTCCATTAAAAAAAAAAGAAAAAAGAAAGAAACAAGATACATGCAACCAATGAACATACATTAAACCAATGAAATTTCCTAGCCATCAATAAGAAACCATTTTTCGGTAAAACAGCAAGGTAGGCTATTTGAAAACCCAAATTTAGCTATTCTCCCATTTGCTTAACATATTACTCTTTACTTAAATTGGTCTATGTTAAAACTATCAAATTCAAATTTAAAAGCTAGCTTAATTTCAACCTAGGGAAATTTAAGTTCATTCTTCTCCAGTTTATTAACAAGAATGTCCTTGCTAGGAGCTTTTTGAAGAAACAATGAATCAAGATACCTCTAAGTTCTAGAGTTTGGAGCAAAAGTGGAAATAAAATGTTTATATCAAACTGCAAAATTCATAGTATTTTATTCTTCCTCAGAAAGTTTGATTTCACCTACTTTATTTAAGCCATGATCATATCTTTTAACCACAAAAGAAACTGTTATAAGCTTATGGAGTATTGTGCAATATAGGAAAGATCAATAAATCTTTCCTAATGTACTTAGATTATATACTTAGAAGATATCCAATAGTTTATTTATAAAGGTAATGCAAATCTATGTTTACTATCTGCAACTCAAGTTAAAGAACAGAGCTTTATTCATCTCATGGTCTCTCCTTTCTGTTAAAGCCAACAAACTCCGGGTTTAAGTCTTCTGCCCCTTATCTTTGGCCTATCCCTTTCTTCACCCTGTTTGTCCCATAACTATCCTAAATATATGTAAAAGATACCTCACACATATAATAACTGAACTTTCTTTCCTAGCCCTCCTCTTACAAAAGCAAGAGACAACCTATTTTCTACCTGAAAAACCCCTGTGTGGCTATCAATAATCATCAAATGCCAAGCCTCCTCAAATTTACATCAAGGACAAAAACTCAGTGAAGATCTTACGATTAAATGAAAGCCAATGCTGTGGCCACAAAGTGTTAGAGCATTGTCTTCAGTGTAAAAAACAGAATACTTATAGAGTTACAGTTGCTAACAGACGGCTAGGGAATTCCTTCAACTAAGAAATTATCAAGGCTTTGTGGGTTCAGAACAAATCTTATTGAAATTACGGAGCTAAAGAGAAGTTAGCAGTTTCTTTGGGATCTAGTTTATTTCACAGATTATAACAATAAACAAGCTATGTAAATTAAAAGAATTAAAAGAAAACTTGTAGTAGTAAAGAGTTTGATGCCCATGAAGTGGTCTATTCTAGAAAACTGTTTAGGGCCAAAATAGTAACTAGTTTACTTCTCTTAAAGAAATCATGCAACTGTCCTGACTGTGTAGGCTCAGTTGGTTAGAGCGTGTCCCAATACACCGTTTTGTGGGTTTGATACTGGTAAAGGTATAAACAGGAATCAACCAATGAGTGCATAATTAAGTGGAACAACAAATCAATGTTTCTCTCTCTCTCCCCCCTTCTCTCTAAAATCAGTTTAAAAAAATAAAGCAAAGAAAGAAATCATGAAATTGATATGACTCTCACTGAGAAGAGAACTAACATTATCTGAACACCTTGAAACTTGTCACACACTAAATTAAGGCCCCAAAAGACTAATCTTTTTAAGATTATACTGGCAGCTACCAAGTGACTGCTTGCTCTTTACACTACAATGTGACAGTTCCTTTTGTCCTAAGGATTATAACACAAACTTTGGGATAGCAGTAAATAAACACTGCTTGTCAAAAATAAAAATTTTCACTTGGCCTGGATTGGTGAAAACAAAACAACAAAAAACCCCACCCATTCTTTTTGCTGCCCTGGCCTAAGCACAGTGTTGCT